CCTGTTGCAGAAAACACCAGCAAAGAACCCCCGTCAGGTAGAGCAGCAAATGTAGTTTCCCCTTGCTACAGTAGGCTAGTTTCTGTACGTATTCACACATCCTTCTGTGTTCTCCAGGCAAGAAATAGCTATTGCCAGAGTTCAAGGACAAATTCCAGCCAGGCAAAAACATTCAAAGAAGTTGGAAAGCAGGGGCAGTGAGTGGTGTGCTCTAGAAAGGGGAAGGTGACGTGGGGTGAGCTCTGGGGATCAGATAGAGAGGACTGGAGGACTGTATTCAGCCCCCAAGCCCAATATTCCTGCCCTCCCCCCAGGTTTAAAAGACAGAAAGGATGGCAACACTTCATACAGAGTCAAAAACAAGTGCTAAACCAGCACCCCTTGCTGCCCGTGTGAAGACATGTTTTGGATCTTCATGGTTTAAACACGATTGCAAGCAATAAAGCTTGGCTCTTGAACTGCTTTTGATATTGTTTCTGTTAAGGTTGTTTTCGAAGCTTGGGACTGAACAGCTCTTAGGTGGCACCTCTGTTTGACAGAGGTGGTTATTATAAGAAACGCCAACTTGGTGGTGGTGGGGGGAATAACATTATCTCCTTGCTGAAAGGGCGCAGTTTCATTCAGAGTGTGCTGTGACTCAAAGACACAGTGACGCGTGCTATGAATATGCAAGCATGAATCATTAGAGATGGATTGAGGCGAGAGCAGAGGGAGGCTTCAGGCCTCCTGCCTTGACACAAGAGGAAAAGGGGGAGGTATCAGCAAGGGCTTCTTTCACGAATGGCCAGGGCCCATCGGGACCAATAGGGCCGAAGGCAGGGAGACCAACAGTAGGGGGAGCTAGAGCCAATGAGAGGTGGCAGTGGCGGACTTTGGGCTCTCAGATTTCAATGGCTCCCTGTGCAATGCTAAAATTCAGCATCCCTCACTCCATTCTACAGCATTGTTGTGGCACTCATTGCAGCTGCACTGGTCATGCTTACTTAAATCTGCCTCTGGAGGCACAGCCAACTCATTCTAGTTTTGCGATACCACCATACCTTTATTCCAGATCCCAACATCCTCCCCGTTGCTCCCACCACCTTGAAATGTTGGTGTAGCCATTCAGCCAGGTGTGTGATCAATGCCTACTGGGCTAATAAGCTGCTTGGCCCCCCTGGTGTATCACAAAGGCTCCCCGCTGTAGTTGTTCTTAAGTGTTCAAGAGCTTTGACGTGTTAATGCATGCTACACCTGGAGGCTGCAGCAATCAGGTCCTGCAAGCCTAGATCAGATCAGTTTGCCACATATTTGTATAAATATGCTACCCGCTATTATTACAGGAGAACTGGCCATTTGTGAAGGAGGGTTGGTGATGACAAGGATGGCGAAGGTGTTAAGAGATAAGCGACATCTGTCAGGATAGGCGGCTGCCAATACTTCTGAGAACAGTTTTAGCAGCAGAACCTCCTCAGCTGGGGACTCCATTGTAGCTGGGCTAATGCTGGTTTTATGTAGCTTAATTCTATCTGGGGTTGAACCCACAAGCTGTTCCTCTTCACACAAAAAAGATGAAGGGCAAAGCTATACATTTAAAGCATGTTCAATACCTACTTAAAGCAAATGACTTCCCCCAAAGGAATCTTGGGAACTGTGGTTCCCCCTCACAGAGCTACATTTCCTGCACCCTTAGCAAACTACACTTCCCAGTATTCTTTGAGGGGGAAATTGCCAGGTGGCCAAGGCAAGAGGCAGGGAACTTTTATCAGCCTGAGGGCCACTTTCCCTTCTGAGCAACCGTTTTGAGACCACATACCAAGGACCTTTCAAATAACCAGAGTGTGTGAGGTTTGACCTGTTGGCTTGCACTCATTTATGGCTGCCTGACATGAGAAATCCCCACCATCTCCAGTTAATAGGGTAAGGTAGAAAGGCCTGAGAAAGGCCACCAGATAAGAGCAACGGCTGCCAATCAAGATAAAGTGTGCATAACAATAGATATATTGGTGAAAACAACATGCAGAAAGACATTCTATTAGGGCAGGGGTGGCCAACTCCCAAGAGACTACGATCTACTCACAGTTAAAAACTGGCAGTGATCTACCCCCTTTTTTTGGGTTCAGGTCAAAGGGTTTTTTAGGAAGGAGGAAGGCCCATTTTGGGGGGGGTTGGGTCAAAGTTGTTGAGTTTTTTCAGGCAGGAGGTAAAATGTTGAGCTTCTTTCTAGGGTAGCCACAGTTGTTCAGCTTCTTTGTGGGGAGCCAATGATCTACCAGTGATCTACTGCAGACGTCCAGTGATCTACCGGTAGATCTACCTGTTGGACATGCCTGTATTAGGGGAAACCATTTTGCAAAAATGTGTATCTCGGGAGAAAGTCGCACTAAAATGCTGGTGAATTTTCAAGAAGGATTTTCAAGAGGAAAAAAAATCTCCAAACTAATGTGGAAATGTGGAGAGCTGAATTTAGGATTGGAGGGAAAACGAGAAACTGAGAGGCAATTGAAAAGGATGTGTTTGGCATGCAGAGGGTCCCAAGATATAAAGCAGGGCTGGTGTGAAAGAGGAGAGATGGAGGAGGAAGTGCAGAAGAGGGTCCTCATCTCTCTCCAGAATGGCAGCTGCGAACAATGAGACTCGGAGATTTCCAAACTGTTCATTTAGCAGCCCTGGTCTAAAAATGCTGATGGGTCTTTTTTGATAAGTGCCAGGCAGGCAACAAGCAATCTCTCTCCCCGTTCTGTTACTAGCTGTGTAGCACTGCCCTCTGCTGTTTGGAAGGAGTCACATCGGTATGTAAGATGCAGGAATGATTTTCTCTGCAGGTTGGGTGGGTGAGTGACACTAGAAAGCAGAAAGCTGCCTTATACTGAGTCAGACTAGCTCAGCATTGTCTGCACTGACTGGCAGCAGCTCTCCAGGGTTTTAGGCAGGATTTCATCCCTACCTGGAGATGCTGAGAACCAACCTGGAATCTTCTGCATGCAAAGGAGATGCTTCATCATTGAGCCTTTCCTGGGATGAAAGAGAGAAGCAAAGGGAAGTACACTGGGACTTGCTTTTTGTTCCTCTGTCAAAATGAGGATGGGGAACACCTGGCTTGACAATCATACATGTGAAAAGGATCTAGGAGTCTTACAAGACCACAAACTTAACATGAATTAATAGTGTGATGCAGCAGCAAAAAGGGGCTAATGCTATTCTAGGCTGCATCCACAGTATGCTTCTGTGTCCCGATCAAGGGAAGTAATGGTCTTGTTCTATTCTGTCTTGGTCAAACCACACCTGGAATACTGTGTTCAGTTCTGGGAACCACAGTTTAAGGAGGACATGAGAGGGAATATGAAAGCCATCTTCAAATATCTAAAGGGCTGTTACATGGAAGATAGAGCATGCTTGTTTTTTGCTGCTCCAGAGGGTAAGACCTGAACCAATGGATTCAAATTACGGGATGGGGGCAGATTCTCTCTAAACTTTAGGAAGACCTTTCTGAAGGAAGAGCTGTTTGACGTGGAACAAACTACCTTGGAAGATGGCTTTAAAAGAGAGGTTGGATGGCCATCTGTCAGGGATTATTTAGCTGTGATTCCTGCATTGCGGGGGGGGGGGGTTGGACTAGATGGCTCCTGAGGGTCTTCCAGCAGTACCATTCTATGATTCTGTGGTTTAACAAAGTTCACAGAATTAGTTCAAAAATCTCTGAACTTCCCCGAAAGTGTTTCCCTTAACTGCTGAGTGAACTGAACATGAATTAAGTGCACTTCGGGATAGAACATTAAACAATTTCTTGTTTGTCTTAAAGTTCATTCTCTTACATCTGTGTGTTTACTCTTCAGATTCCTTGGGCCTTAAAGTTTAAAGATCATAATTGTTGAGGAAAATAAAGTAAACCATTCACATTCCACTGTGTGTGTGTGTGTGTGTGAGTGAGAGAGAGAGAGAGAGAGAGAGAGAGAGAGAGGGAGGGAGGGAGAGATGATGTTTTCTTAGTCTTATGTATCTTTTGTATGTTAGCACATCAGCTTGTAACACTCAGGATGCTAAGGGGAAAAAATCACTGAGGATCAGTTGGATGATTTGAATCAAACAGTGAACCAAACCAGTTTGCTTGGTGGCAGGATGGATGTGAACTGGAATTAGTTCCTTTTTAAGATGAGCTTTCCAAGCTTTGCCTGTCACTCAACTTCTGGTTCCTGACTTGCTTTATCACTTCAAGCTATTATGGCACCCTGTGTGAGCCTAAAATTTGCCCTTCTCCCCAACCCTGCTTGGGAAGGAGGCATGAGGTGTCTGATAAGGTCCTAGAGTCCTCCTTCCTCCTTCCCAAAGCTAGGAAAGTGCTAACTAGGCTTTGGGAAGAAGACAGGAGGACTCTAGGACCCTGTCAGCACCTCTCTCGCACAACCCTAAATCTGCCCCTGCTGCCAAGGAAATATATGTGTACTAAATTTAATTCCCACAAATCTTTACCAGTTGGAAGGCAGAATGTCCTGCTTGTGGGTTTCCCCACAGGAATCTGTCTGGCCACTGTGAGAACAGGATGTTGGACTTACATAGCCCTTGGTCTGATCCTGCAGGCTTTTGTTATGTTCGTATGTTGTAAACTCCTAACTGTGGCCATCAGAGGGCACTTTAAGACTGCATCTGCTGCAGGCCATGACAATCCCCACTTTCCCTCATAGCTTCCTAGATCAAAAGAAAATTTCATTACTGCTTACATCAGCCTTTCCTCAACTTGGTGCCAGATTACATCCCCCATGATCTCTTGATAACTGGCTGTGCCAACTGGGACTGATGGGAATTAAGAATCCAAAACACCGGGTTGGAGAAGGCCGACCTATATGATCATTTTATTGCCAGATGAAATACAAGCGTGTCTAAATGCTCCTGATTCCGTCTGGGACTTCCGGGATATCTTTTTTGCCCATGTCAGCCTATCCTAATTTGGGAAGGCGGGAGGGAGACATTGGGCACAGTCTGATAAACTTGACACTCCAAACTTTCACATTAAAATGGCTGTTCCCCAAGATAACACCTGTTGTTGCGGTGGAAAAGTCACAGAAATAAGAGGGGGTCTCTGGAAGGCACTTTGGTGAGAGGCCTCTCTAACCGGGCCTGCTCCAGACTGAAGTGAACTGTGGACATTTTTTTACTTCAAGATAACCAAGCGTGCAAATGGTTAGTCACTGTCCCGTCTCGGCACCTGGAAGGCTTTGGAGAGGTGAAACTCCCCTCCAGGGAAGCTGGACACACCAGGAGCCATCTGGGAAGTAGCTGGCGAGTTTTAAAAAATGCAGCAAATTTGGCCACTTTGAACATTCATAGGGTTGGACAGGGCCGTCGGAAACAGTGCTAGCTCAACAACTTTTCCATCCGGATTTTCACTTTTTGAAATAGGGCAACTCTAACTTAGCAGCCATTGCAGACGAAGGTCCTGTGGGATGTGAAACACAAGAAGCAGTCAAGTACAACATTCCTTATTTTCCTAGAGTAGACACGCAAAGGCGATGTTTGTTCCAGCCAGTCAAAAACTTCCTGTTTCCTCCTGAGCCGGGACATACTTCCTCTTGCGTGTGACTAGAGGTGGGTGTGACCTTACCTGTCCAGGTAACAAAAAGGACAAGGCATGCAGTCATCTCTCTCTTTCTTCTCTTCCTCTCGTTGTGTGAGCTGCAGTGACTGCTAGTCTGCGGTCACTGGGATTATCCCCCCATTTGGGGTAGATGCACATGTATATATCTTTGTAACAAAGTCTGCCTTCAGGGATCCAACTGTGAACTGATGCTGATGCTGTGAGAAAACTACTTTTATATATCTTAAATAAGATTGTGTTGTGTTTATTCTTTTAAGAGGGAAATACAGTCATACCTCGGGTTGAATATGCTTCATGTTGAGCACGTTCGAGTTGCACTCCGCGTCAACCCGGAAGTAACGGAGCACGTTACTTCCGGGTTTCACTGCTCGCGCATGCACAGACGCTCAAAATGACATCACGCGCATGCGCAGAAGCGACGAAAAGCGACGTGCACTTGCGCAGACGTGCCATCGCTAGTTACGTTTGCTTCTGGATGCAAACGGGGCTCCAGAACGGATCCCGTTCGCATCCCGAGGTACCACTGTAAAGGGATCTTACCAGGAATCTATATTGAGAAGCTTAAACAAGCTTGCAACCAGCTACCCGTTGTGCGTTTAAAAGGGAAATGTTAAAACTCTGCTAAGTTATAGAACTTGCTAGCGCAAGTTAGGAAGGATATTGATAAACAATATATCCACTCCTGCCTCCCTGAACATTCCCACAGGACCCACGTTTTGCCTCTGCTCTAGCTTCCGGCCAATGCTTCTTTCCCTCCACCCCCTTCTCTACGTCTTCCCATCCCAACTGCCTCTGTAAGGAAAGTGCCGGGCCACCCATGGGTGGCAGAGACCCCTTGACAACAGCTGGGTGCTCTGGGGTCACAGCTGAACCCCACTGGCCCACTGGGCCCACCTCCTCAGCTTGGGCCCAATGCGGAGATGGAGCTTTTGAGCATCTTCGCCATGGCAACCAGAAGGGTTGGGCAAGGAAGACACGCCAGAGGTTTAGTCCATGCTTTACTGGAGATGAATGAGCCCCAGGCCTGTCGCTGCGTCGAAGGCGGGCTGTTTAATTCTGCTCCTGGTGACAGAAAGAAAGGCATCTCGAAAGGAACTGCTGTAGGCATCATGGTCCCTCTGAAGGCACCTGAAAATCCCAGGTTTCTTCTGGAGGTGGGAAGAACAAGGTACTGGATTAGACAGGCCCTTGGCAGCTGCTGCGTATGCTATCCTTTCACTCGCTCTCCTAGTACATAAAATCTCTGTTGTTTTTTCAGTCCCTACCCAAACTTCCCTCTTTCTTCAGCAAGGCTTTGTAAGTGGAGATCTTTATCCCAGTCTGCATCTGTATTGCAGCTATTTTTAACAGTTCTTATAGATGGAATTGTTTTTAATGATACACATTTGTATCATTATTATTTTTAATAGTCTCACTTTAAATTGCTTTTACACTTTTTTGTTGTTGTTTTTCTTTTATGGCTGTAACCGTGTTCTTTGTTTTATCATGTAAGCCATACTGGGGCTTTATGGAAAACGCCAAGGAAGACATCTAATTCATTAAATAAATATTCATTTATCTGGGGTAAATATATAGTAACAACAACTGAACCATTTGCTGCCTCCATTATGGCTAGTAGCCATGGATAGCTTTATCCTTCATGAAATTGGCCAGTCCTCTTTAAAGCCATATGAGTTGGTGGGCATCACTCCCTCATGTGGGAATGAGTTCCATAGGTTTACTATGCACCGCATAAATAAATCCTTTCTTCTTCTTCTTCTTCTTCTTCTTCTTCTTCTTCTTCTTCTTCTTCTTCTATTGTTATTCATTTCATTATATTTTTTGCAAACAAAATCCAAAGTGGTTTACAACACATTAAAACATCAGCTAATACAAGCCAGAAAATAAAACTTTACTGAAGAAATCAAAGTATATATTCAAAGCAATGTAATTAACAGGAAACTAAAATATTATCTTAAAGACTGCAAAATAAAACATTATAAAACAGGTTAACTACAGAATGCACGTGTAACACAGCAAAGTTAACTCCCCCCCATAATAAACTCTTAAAAAGGGAGCACGACTAAAGGAAGTCAAGTATAAAATGCACATTTCAAACAGCATAATTAACAAAAGAATAATCTGCTCCAAATATTCCAAAATTCTTTTTTAAAAAATAATATTTATTACTTTTATAGATTACAAAAAGGGAAGAGAAAAACAGAAAAAAAGACAAAGGAGAAAAGCAAAAAGGAAAAAAAAAATACAGTACAGTATATAGACAATGCAAAACACAACCTAAACTCAAAACTAAACACACCCCACTCCCTAACCTTAACCCTAAATAAAACAAAACAAAAACAATTTAAAAACATACATCATCCCTTTTCCGTACTCTATCTTTCATTCCTTTGTTTCCTCGACCTCCTCTCACCTCCCTTTTTGTATTCCACTTCTATTAATTGTTTCAGCAAATCCTTTCCATCTTTCTCCATTTTCTATCATATTGTAAATAACGTATTTTTTAACCTTATTTTCGATTTAACCTAAAATACTTTTATATGCTTAACTCCTTATATCATTTCTGCTAAGCCCTTAAAATTTATTTCCACCATTTTTCTATCACTCATTAGTTTTACCATATGTCTATATATAAACTTTAAATTTTCCAATCTTCTTCCACCATCTCCTCTCCCTGGTTTCGGATTCTGCCAGTCCTTTCCGTCAACTCCATAAAGTCCATCAACCTGGTGATCTTATGTCCGAGGCTCTTAACTCTTTCCCAAGTCCCTTCTGCAGGTCTTCTTCATTTTCTTTAATGCTAAAGAACAAATCTCAGGGAAACTCCAACCTGTCAATCCTTTTCTTCCTTCTGAAGAGATCAGCCAAATTTCCATAGTTGAAGCTACAGTCCATAAAGTATTTCAGGGCATATTTCAAGATTCCTCCAAATCCAAAGGCCCCCAAAACTTCAATCTCCTCCAGGCCCGAGTCCATGTCCCAAAAGTCAGTTAATCCCTGCATAGAGGGATCTTTCCAACTTTCCTTCTTTAATCCAAGCCGGGATCCATTCCTCAAAGTCTGACTTTTCCTAGATTCAATCATAAAAGGCCTCAACTTATAGTCCTCAATTTGCTTCTGTAAAGCCACGGATCCCGCTTGTATTACTTTATGTTAAACAACAGTAGCTTTCTCCTTCTCCTCCTTCTCCTCCACCATTTGTCCTGCCAAAATGGATTCCTGTACCAAGTCCTGGATTATTTCTGTGTTGGTGTTCGCTTTTTGACTCAAATTAGTCACTTTCTGTTCCAAATTATCAACTTTAAAAGTCATGTCATCCATCTTCTTGTGAAGCTGTCCCAGCAAACAGCTTATCTTACATAAAACAGTCACAATGGCCTCTCCTGTCAACATTTTTAAATGGTCCAAGGTCAATCTCTGGTTCTCAGAATCCTTATCTGCAGCTGGAAATCCCCCAGTTACACTCCTGTAACAGTTTCAAAAGCTCACTCTTGAGGGAAACAGTCTCCACTTGTATCAGTTCTTTCAGGCACAACTCAAGCATTAAAGATAGTTTCAATTTTTCAGTTACTTTTCCTCTTTTTTAAACGCAGAGGAGGACAATGGAAACAGTATCTTACTCTTATTTAGCTAGCTGTCAAATCCGTTCTGTCAATGCACTCTCTCCAAACGTCATCTGGCAGCCTGTTCCCAGGTTCAGAGCAGTGGTAATTTGATTTTTCACTCTCTCCTGCAGGCTCACTAGGTCCAAAATTCCCCCCTCTTCTCCTGCTTCCAAGGGGGGTTTTGTATTTTAAACTGATGGAAATTTAATCCTTTGCCAAAAGCTTTCAAAGACTTTAACTTGTAACGTCTTTACTTCAGTCTATTTACAAAAACGGAAGGCGGACTTCCTGTTTATGACCTTCCCACTTCAGTGCCAAATTAAGATATTTAAAAGTCCAATTTTCCGTTCTACTCACGGGTAGTTGTTTAAAATCCAAAAGTCAGCGCTCTCCGGCAACAGCAATGCGGCTTCACTCCGTGAAAGAAGCAGTCGATTCAAAGCACCGCGCCACTCACCCCACGTCGCTCCGGATCCCCAAAACAGGGTTTCCCCCGCGAGTAGGGGAGGCGCAAAAGGTGCCAGCCGAATCCCAAGTTCACAAGCTTCTCCCGCTTGTGATTTCAATGGGTCTCCACCTTCGCCGTGGCGGTCAGACCCTGTTTTTCACGGAGCAAGTTCCTCCCGAACGGAGGAGCTCCGCCATTGTCGGAGGCGCCAACCCGGAAGTCCGAAATATTCCAAAATTCAACTTCATTGAATGTCCATGAGTTCTAGTTAAATGAAAGAGGGAAACTTTTCTTTATCCCCTTTCCCCATGCCATACATAATTTTATAAACTTCTGCCATGTCACCTCTTACTCAGCTTTTTGCTAAAATTAAAAGCCTGAAAGCTGCAAACTTTATTCATAGGGGAGTCACTCTGTCCTAGTGATCATTTTGGTTGCCCTTTTCTGAACCTTTTCCAACTCTACAATGTCCTTTTTGAGATGAGGCGACCAGAACAATACACAGCATTCGAAATGCAGCCACACCATAAATTTGTAGAGCAGCATTGGGATATTGACTTGGAATAACATAGGAAATGGCCTTATACTGAGTCAGACTATTGGTCCACCTAGCTCAATGTCGTCTACTGACCAGCAACACCTCCAGAGGGGTGATTGCAAAGTTTATTTCAGTAATGTGGATCAGGAAGCAACACCACATATCAGAAGGCTACTGGTCGCCCCCTTTCAATAGCAAAACAGAAAGTAAAAAAGACTCCTACTATCCAAAAATGGTGCAACAATATTTGGAAAACATTAACTACGGAGACAATCTCATGTCAGTTAAAGGCTCCAGCTAATCCCAGAGTAATTTAAAGGCTAGAGCAAATCAATTGAAATCTCTGCTTCCTTATTTAATAATTATTTTATAATGAAATGATGACTAGTTCTAAATGTAATGGACATGGCTAATTGGAAATACATAAAGCCACTTGAATACTCTTCAATAGTACATTAATCAGCAGAAGATACATATCTATCTATATCTTTTATTGATTATATCTGTTTAACTTTTTTGACATACATGTGTGCCCAGCCAGAACTTTTGTTATACCTCCTACTAGTCCTCTCTCTGTTTATTTCTTTCCTTGAAGCTTGTTTGTTAATTTTAGGCTGTGATCTTATACATACTCACTTCGGAGTAAGTCCCATTGAACTCAATGCAGCTTCCTTCTGAGTAGGAACATATAGGACTACACTGTTATTTATTTACTTCATTCTTCTAAATAGCATCCTATGTCAGAAGAACCAGCTAGTAAAAAGTGGGGAGGGGGGAAAAAATAGTTTGGTTTTTAATTAAATGCACAATATCTATTATTGTTGTTGGGTTTTGTTTTGTTTTTAAAGTTCTGCATTTTTTAAATGGATCAGACTCCAAGGCAAATCTAGTATATGGCTGTATTGATTTTATTTTTTGAAAACTCTGGGACGATCTGTTTAAGAGGAGAATAGAAGACACTTAACTGGCACAATCAACTCTAAAATATTATACAAACCTGCTTAGTATTTGACTTCATAATTTACATTTCATGTGCATGGAATGTTTTGGGGGGGTATATGATAATTGTTTGTTTTAAGCACTTTTAGAAACTGGAATATAAAGTGTGTGTGTGAGTGTGTGTGTGTGTGAGTGTGTGTGAGTGTGAATTTAGCTTGGCTGGCAGGCTGCCAATTCTGACTCTTCTTCTTTCTCTCCCCTGATTGCTGCCTAATTTTAAGGTGTCATGATCAGGCCACCTCTCCCATCAGCTTCTCCTATTTGAGTACACCTTTCCAAATGTGATGTTTTCCCAAGTCTTTTTCCTGATAGTCACAGTGAAGTATTAATTAAAGGGGAAGTATGCCAAGGCAGGGAGTCAAAAGTTCAGCTGCCAGGTTCCCCCGCCCAGGCAATTGAACAAGAGGAAATAGAGAGGCAAAAAAAAAAAAAAAAAACCCCCAGCCAAATGACCACATAGCTCAGCTCATTAAGTGACCGGGAACCTGCCAAAGCGTGGCCATTAATTCCACCCAATTGATTGCTGCTTCCCATTCTGCAGAGTCAGGCCCAGAAAGTACGGGTCCCATCCCTTCTCTTGGGAAATATTTATTTAAACCCAGCCCTGCGCGAACAGCCGTTTGTGAACGCCATTTAGAGACAAGCTACGGGTTCCAAACGACCCAACACCATTTAGATGCGGTCACTGTAAGAGAGGGAGAGAGTGTGTGTGCGCGTGCGTGTGCTTTTTGAAGAGTGAATAGCAGATGGGGGAGGCAGAACTGGAACTAGACCTGGGGAGTAGGAGGATTTAAACCATGGGTAGGCAAACTAAGGCCCGGGGGCTGGATCAGGCCCAATCGCCTTCCAAATCCAGCCCACGGATGGTCCAGGAATCAGCATGTTTTTACATGAGTAGAATGTGTGCTTTTATTTAAAATGCATCTCTGGGTCATTTGTGGGGCATAGGAATTCGTTCATTTCCCCCCAAAAATATAGTCCTGCCCCCCACAAGGTCTGAGGGACAGTGGACCAACCCCCTGCTGAAAAAGTTTGCTGACCCCTGATTTAAACTCTCTGTACCCTGCTGTGGTCCAGATCTGGATCAAGCCTTCTCTTGTAGTGGTTAAGAGCGGTAGACTCGTAATCTGGTGAACCAGGTTCGCGTCTCCGCTCCTCCACATGCAGCTGCTGGGTGACCTTGGGCTAGTCACACTTCTGTGAAGTCTCTCAGCCCCACTCACCTCACAGAGTGTTGTGGGGGAGGAAGGGAAAGGAGAATGTTAGCCGCTTTGAGACTCCTTCGGGTAGTGATAGAGCGGGATATCAAATCCAAACTCTTCTTCTTCTTCTTGCACCTGCTCTTTGCATTGTGAGGAACCCTCCCAAAGGCTCCAGTAGGACTTGAATGTGGTAGGGGATTGAGGAAAAGCAGGTCCAGGAAGCCGCATATGGTCCATCAGTGGCTTCTCTATTAGGTTCTCAGGAATGTCCCTAAACCCTGCTCTTCATGCTACTCCCCCCCTTGAGTGTTTGCCCCCAGCTGGAATGTGTCTTTCATCTGTGATAATGGCTCTCACTTTTGCATGCTTGGAATAGGAATGAGGTTGACATCTTCTTTGGGGTACTTTTGGTGGCAGTTAAAGACTCCTTGGCTCACTGCTAGCACCCGTCTTGTGTGCCTCTTTTATGATGATGTTTCACTAGTGATTTTGATTCTGTTGAATTTTCAAAGGCTTTTATATTGTGACCCATGACTCCTCCCCCCCCCCAAAAAAACCATCCTCAGACCAATGAGGACTCTGCATGCCCCATGGCTACAGAGTATGTGTTGGGGGAAGTGGAACCAGACAACTAGGGGGAGGGAATGGAATGGAGTATCCTGAAATAAGGCATGGTTGCCTGGGTCACTGAACAGGGACACTTCACACTGCAGCAAAATAGGAACATGGGAAGCTACCTTTTGTTGAGTCAGTCCATTGGTCTATCTACATCAGTATTGGCTACACAGACTGGCAGCAGCTCTCCGGAGTTTCAGACAGGGAGTTTCTCCCAACCCTACCTGGAGATGCCAGGGATTGAACCTGGGATCTTCTGCATGCAAGGCAGTAGCTGCTCAGCCACTGAACTACACCATAAGAACACAAAAAGAGCCCTGCTGGTTGACCAGATGTCTTTGGAAATCCTAAAAGCAGCACCAGAGTGCATTGACACACTAACCTCTTGTGATTCACAGCAACTTCACCAAAAGATTACAGGTCTCAGTGTTGTTCTAGTCCAGGGGTCATCAAACTTTTTCAGCAGGGGGCTGGTCCACTGTCCCTCAGACTTGTGGGGGGCCGGACTATATTTTGAAGGGGGAAAAATGAATGAATTCCTATGCCCCACAAATAACCCAGAGATACATTTTAAATAAAAGCACATATTCTACTCATGTAAAAACATCAGGCAGGCCCCACAAATAACCCAGAGATGCATTTTAAATAAAAGGACACATTCTACTCATTTAAAAACACGCTGATTCCCAGACCGTCCGTGGGCCGGATTTACAAGGCAATTGGGCCTGATCCAGCCCCCAGGCCTTAGTTTGCCTACCCATGTTCTAGTCATAAGTTTGTAGGAGAAGCGTTGTTTTCTCCTCACCCCAAGCGCCTAGCAAGTGGCTATTTTATCAACCCACATTAGAGAGAGAGAGAGAGAGAGAGAGAGAGAGAGAGAGAGGCTACTGCTCCTTTCAGGATCACCCCTCCCAGAAGCTGTGCAGATTGACAAAGGACCATATTCCATCTCCCTAGCAATAAATGCCCTTCTGTGCCCAGTCAAAGTGAGACGGCGTTTAATTGAATTAAGATTCCAGCAGGAAAGGCAAGATGCCAGGAGCCTCCAGTTTTGCTGCCTCCTCTTCTCTCCTCCCTGACCCTCCCCCCCTCCCCACTTTCCTAATTTCTGGGCTAACCTAACCTAGAACTGTCATCTCCATCCCTCGCTGCTTACTTCACTCCTCAGCAATGTGGAAGCGTTCAAAGAGGAAGATGTGTTGGCTGGGATGGAGATGGGGGCGGGAGGGTTGGGGGGGTGGGAGGAGGGTGAGAGCGTGTTTTCCCAGGCTCGTTGAGATTCATAAATTTAACTCGGGGTGCGGGGTGGAAGTAAGGGAACAAAGAGAAGAAAGCAGCGAGAAAGGCTGGCTTGCTGGGAGGAGCGGCGCAACAGCTCCGAAACGGTTAAACCAAGGCAGCCGCCCAGCACCGTAGGGGCAAAGATGCCCATGTTTCGGAAGCTTTTGACAGGAGAGCCGCTGGCTGGCATCCAGGGCTTCAGGGGTATACAAAAGGGGCTGAGGCTTTGCTGCCAAACACAGCTCTTGTCTATAGCCGTTCTCCAAAGAGTTGTGTGCCATAACAAGGCCAATTTTAAGAAGCTGGGACTGCAGTTTTAGGGGCGCAGGAAGCTGCCATCTACCAAGTCCATATGGTGGCTGGTCCATATATAAGAACAGTTTTAAGAACATAAGCAGAGGCCTCCAGGATCAGGCCAGGGGCCCATCTAGTGCAGCAACCTGTTCTCACAGTAGCCCATCAGATGCCGCAAGGGGAAGGATGCAACCAGGCCCAGAATGCAACAGCAACACTTGTAATTCCGGTCCAGTGGTATTCAGAGGTATTCTGCCTCTGACAGTAGAGGGAAAGCACAGCTAGCAGCCTCATCCTCCATGAATCCTCTTTTGAAGTCTCCTAAACTGGTGACCATCACTAAATCACGTGGGAGCAGATTCTATGTAAGTTGCATGAAAAAGTACCGTATTTTTCGTTCTATAAGATGCACCAGACCATAAGACGCACCTAGTTTTTGGAGGACGAAAACAAGAAAAAAAAATATTCTGAATCCCAGAAGCCAGAACAGCAAGAGCGATTGCTGTGCAGCGAAAGCAGCAATCCCTCTTGCTGTTCTGGCTTCTGGGATAGCTGCGCAGCCTGCATTCACTCCATAAGACGCACACACATTTCCCCTTACTTTTTAGGAGGGAAAAAGTGAGTCTTATAGAGCAAAAAATATGGTACTTTTCTTTATCTTCCCTGAACCTTCCATTGGATGGCCTTGAGTTCCAGTACTTGGGGGACGGGGACTTCTCCCTATCCACTTTCCAGCGGTTCTCAACCTGTGGGTCCCCAGATGTTGTTGGACTACAACTCCCACCATCCCTGAGCTCTGGCCTTGCTAGCTAGGGGTGATGGGAGTTGTAGTTCAACAACATCTGGGGACCCACAGGTTGAGAAAGGCTGCTCTAGACCATATATAATTTTATACACCTCTACCATGTCTCCACCTTGAGCCATATCTGTCTAAACCACAAGGAGACAAGAAGAAGTAAAGGTACAGGGATAGTCTGGGCACGTGGATGTCCCTCACTCAATCTGTCTTAAACACCATGCAAACCCCTCTTCTGCAGAGAGAGACCTACAAGGCCAGGTTGGTTCCTAGGAAACATCTATTACAGGACAGACCAAGGAGAGAAAACTGTTGAATTGTAGCCCATGCTAGCCCTACTCAAGAGAAGACCCATTGAAATTAACAGCCTTGACCAACTCAGGTCCACTCATTTCAATGGGTCTACTCTGAGTAGTAGAACGTAGTTGGCTACATTATCACACGTGAAACGTACAAGAGAGACGTCACCTGTATTCTTGGCATATCAGAAAATTGTCTTAATGTTTTGTAAGCAAAGCGGGATAGCATTATAGAACGTAGCACTCTGTAGCTCTTTCTTTTTGCTGGTCAACAGACCGAATGCTTCCCTATCTCTCCTATCAAGAAATCTTCCTTTTCCCCTTCTCTGCTCCCCCCCCTTTCTGCAAAATGCACCCCCCCTCCATCTTAATCACAAATGCCCAGCTCTCTTGTCCCATTCAATATGCACCCCCTGCTGCGTCCTTTAGAACCCGGGGAAAGGATAACTTCAGCAACAGCTGCTGGCTCAAACTTCCCTTGGCAATCACATCCTCCTCCCCACCATGATTATTTCCCTGCCCCCAGCCCAAAGAAGTCCCCCTCCCCCTCCCAATAGAAGAGAGTCTATATACTCCCTGCAAAAGCCCATGCTGAAAAAGCCCTGAAAAAGCCCATGGCATGCATTTCCGTTGTCTCAAGCCCAGCTCAACGTATGCATGAAGTCGCGTCCTCAGTTGCTGTGCATGTGTGCAAACTCTCTCACACACAGGGAAGTATAGAGGGGGGAAATGCAAACAGTGGCGCCAAAAGACCATGAAATGCAAGAGGTGAAAGACAAGCACAGTGACAGCGGAGGTACTAAATGGCCTTTGCTGACTGCTCCCTCTCTCATCATAATTCTAGAACTCAGGGACATCCAATGAAGATCAGGACAAACAAAAGAAAGGACTTCTTCACACAGCCTGAAGTTAAACTATGGAATTAGTTCCCACAAGAGGCAGTGAGGGCCAGCATCTTGGGTGGCTTCAAAAAAGAGGATTAGGCATATTCAGGCAGGATAAGCCTTTCAGTGGCCACTAACAATGATGGCCACATCCACTGCTGGAGGCAGCATGCATCTGAATACCAGCTGCTTGAAGCCACTGTGAGAACAGCATGTGGACTAGGAACATAGGAAGCTGCCTTATACTGAGTCAGACCACTGGTCCATCTAGCTCAGCATTGTCTACACTGATAGGCGGTGGGTCTCCAGGATTCAAGGCAGGAGTTTCTCCCAGCCCTACCAGGAGATGAACCTGAGACCTGCTGCGTGCAAATCAGATGCTCAGCCCCTGACCTATGGTTGTTATGAAGCTTTGGCCTGAGCCAGCAGGGCCCATATTATGCTCTTAAAGGTAAAGGGACCCCTGACCATTAGGTCCAGTAGCAGACAACTCTGGGGTTGCGGCGCTCATCTCGCTTTATTGGCCGAGGGAGCCGGTGTACAGGTTCCGGGTCATGTGGCCAGCATGACTAAGCCGCTTCTGGTGAACCAGAGCAGCGCACGGAAACGCCGTTTACCTTCCCGCCAGAGCGGTACCTATTTATCTACTTGCACTTTGACGTGCTTTCAAACTGCTAGGTTGGCAGGAGCAGGGGCCGAGCAACGGGAGCTCACCCCGTCACGGGGAATCGAACCGCCGACCTTCTGATCAGCAAATTCTAGGCTCTGTGGTTTAACCCACAGCACCACCCGCGTCCATTATGCTCTTAGGTTCTCTCTAATAGCAAACGCAAGAGGTGGAAAAAATGAAGCCCAAACAGGGCTGCTGAGAGGTGTAAGTGTGCTTTGCAAAAGTTTGAAGTTTTTTTTTTAAAAAAGAACATGAACACCAATGAAATACTGAGAAGAGGACTTGGGAAGAATATAAATTCTGTTTAATTTGCCTTCCCCTTCCCGATTAGGTAAAAAAGGTAAGGTAAAGGACCCCTGGATGGTGAAGTCTAATCAAAGGCGACTATGGGGTGCAGCGCTTATCTTGCTTTCAGGCCGAGAGAGATGGCGTTTGTCCACAGACAGCTTTCCGGGTCATGTGACCCGCATAACTAAAGCGCTTCTGGTGCAACGGAACACTGTGAAGGAAACCAGAGCACACTTTCCCGCCACAGCGGTACCTATTTATCTACTTGCACTGGCGTGCTTTTGAACTGCTAGGTTGGCAGGAGCTGGGACAGAGCAACGGGAGCTCACCCCGTCGCGGGGATTCGAACCGTCGACCTTCAGATCAGCAAGCCCAAGAGGCTCAGTGGTTTAGACCACAGTGCCACCAACATCCCAATTACATTACACTAGAAACAGTGACAAGAAACCTCTAAGTCAGGTGGCCAAATGTGTCCTACTTTACAGCAGGCAGACCTCCGCCTGAAGGGCAGTCAGGGGACAGTCCTCTATTTGAAGGCATCCCCACTTTGAAAGGCTGCCTGAACGAAGCCTGAGTTAAAGAACTTGGACAGCAGGAACACAGGATTTGTCCCTCTTCTCTTTAAATTCAAGTCATCCTTCTGAAATTTGCATCTATAGATGTAAAGTAGTTATTCACGTTTTAATGCATGGCTATATCCCCTGCCTGTCCTTTTTTTGGTGATGTGTACATTTATATTTATTGTTATTATAAAATGTATCACCCAGCCCTTCCCCAGCAGGTGCTAAGGCACTTACAACAATATAAGATTCAAAATTAAAAACAGTTAAATCTGGTTACAGTCACAGGAAAAGGGTGTGCCCTAAAAACACACATTTCAGGTGTCAAAGGTCAGGGTAAAGAGGCCGCATGGTCTAATGCCTGCATGACCCCAGGCTGAACAATCTCAAATATTGGAAGTAATATTTCATATCAGATTAGGCAGGGGAGACAGTACAGTGCAGCAGTTAGAGGGTCAGACAAATCCCTGGGAGACTGGGGTTCAAATCCCTACTTGGCCATGAAGCTCACTAGGCGTCACAGTCTCAACCTAGCCTACCTCACAGAGTTGTTGTGAAGTTTAAAAAGAATGAAGGAAGAAAACATTGCATGCCACCTTGAGCTCCTTGGATGAACGGTGAGATAGGAATGTAATGTAATAAAACAATAAATTCACAGAGCAATCATTTTCCATTTCAGTTAACTGAACAGAATTGTAACATATGCTATGATATGGGGTGTCTTGCTGGGAGGGATAGAGGCAATGCATTTCCAAGAAAGGGAACAAAAATCTGCATAAAATTTGTATATGCTAATTCCAAGGTGTAGATGCTAATTTAGAAGTGCTGCAATTTAAACAGAAATGCAATGGGAAGGACTTTGGCCAGGTGACTTGCTTGATAGGTAACAATGGACGATGTTAAAGCCCCATCCCACTCTCCTTTCTTGGGATTCTTCCTCTCTGAAATATAGAGGATTCCTTCAAATAGAGGACTTTCCTGGATAACGCAGGACGCATACGAACAGAGCTTCCCTTCTAAATTTCCTGCTGGGTGGCAAGGCAAGGGTTAACACAGCCCAGTTCTCAAGAGGTGGTGTTGTTGACAGCTGTGATGAATGAGGCATGAATCCACCTCTGGCTGGACTGAGAGGCAGGATGGGGGTGTGCGGAGGAGAGAAAATTACCATTATCCACACCCCATGCTCCCCTTGCTCAGCAGGAAGATCTTTCTTCTCTGTTTTGGCACTGGGAGACTGTCTCAGGGCACGAACTCCAGGTCACTTCACAGGGGGAACTTGCTCCTTCCTTACACCCTTGAAACACCCTTGCTTGCTCACATCCAGGGTGGCAAAACAATCCCCCACACACCCACTTCCCAGACTGACTATTTCTAAGGCTGTATCATTAAGTGGTGATTAACACCAGGAAAGGCCTACTTTAACTGGCAGAGTCGAAAGCAAAAGGTTTTCTGGGCTTTTTGTTTAGCGTAGACTTACTTGTCCTGATCAAGGATAAGCAATAGTATGTACTGCTCTATTCTACCTTAATCAGAACCCCCTGGAGTCCTGTGTCCAGTTGAAGAAGGATATTGGCAAGCTGCAACACGTGGAGAGGAGGGTGACCAAGATGATCGGGGATCTGAAACCAAGCCTTATGAAGAATGGTTGAGGGAGTTGGGTATGTTTAGCCTGGAGAAGAGAAGACCAATTTTCATGTCTCTTTTGTAGGAAATGTATACAGTCTTACCTCAGAAGCCCAAGAGAATCCATTCTGGAAGTCCGTTTGACTTCCAAAACATTCAGAAACCAAAGCACAGTTTCCGATTTGGACGTTCAGCTTCCAAAATAAGTTCACGAACCGGAACACACACTGCCGTGTTTGCGGCGTTCGGGAGTCAAAATGTTCGACTCGCAAGGCGTTTGACTTCCAAGGTATGACTGTACTTGTTTGTGTGTTCTGTCACATGGAAGATGGAGCAAGCTTGCTTTTTGCTGCTCCAGGGAGTAGGACCTGAGGCAATGGATTTGAATCTACAAGAGATGACCCTTGGGGTCCCTTCCAACTTTACAATTCTATGATTCTGCGAGTATTTATAGCATGCTTCATAGCTCCCAGAGGGCTATATTCTCCCTCCACTGTCGGTGGCAGTACAGTCTCTGAATACCAGATGATGGCAATCACAGGTGGGGATAATGCTGTTGTGCGCAGGTCCTGCTTGTGGGATTCCCATTGGTCTATAGCTGGCCACTGTGAGAGTAGGATGTTGATTTCGATGGACCTTTTGCCCAATCTAGGCCTAGGCTCTTCTTACATTTCTGCATTCTTAACCAGGGTGGAATCCACACACACATTAAAAAAACGCTGTGCCAATGCTTTTTTAAAAAACGTTTTGAAAAATACATTGGAATTGCCATAGCTCACTGTCGCCATCTAGTGTCACCTTTGTATATTGCACTTTACTTAAAACATTTTATTTGCAGCTGTGTAGCTGAGTCCTATGATTATTTCGTCCACACTTTCTGCTCTTGTCACCGGTCTTCTCTTGTGCCAACCTAGGCAGGCAGCTGCTGAGGACCTCTGAATCAGGAGACATATTAAAATGCTGTATATTGGGGAAAATATCCTTGCAAAACTGTGCATATTAGGCAAAACCACATAGAATAATATTTATAGTGGGGAAAAGCTGCACTTAAACATTAGTGAACTTTTATTAGGTTAAGGTCTGGTTAACTACAATAACACCCCCCTTTTTTTCCTTTCTTTTTTGGTTCTGTTTTGTTTTCTACATAGGTACTAGTTTCTTCTTCTTTTTGTGTCTTACCTTACTCTGCACACTTGTAATTATGTACTTTTTATTTTTCAATATAGAATATAAAATGATAATAATAAAAAAGAATTTGCTAATGGATGTTGAGATCTGAAGACTGGAAAAAATGAGAAACTGAAAAGTTTCCCCCATTCCTACCCATTGCAGCCCAATCAATCAATATCCAGTCATGTTGGAGATGGTTTGTTCTGCCATGATCAGATTGAGGAGGCCTTTTAGAAGGAGCCTGGACAGCTGGAGACTTTGGGTTCACCAGCAAGGAAATGCATATTGGAAGACACAAGATCTACCCACCTTGGAAGAATGGCAGATGAAGGTGATGGACTATATGGAAGTGGCGGAAATGACTGGCAGAATCCGAGACCAGGGAGAAGAGTCGATGGAAGAAGATTGGAAAAAGTTTAAAGACTATCTACAGAAATATTGCAAAATTAATGAATGTTAGAATGATGTTGGATAGAAACTAAGTGCTCTTTAGCTGAAATGTTATAAGGGAATATGAAAGAATGGTTTATTAATGGGTAAAAATCTAAAATTACAATATTCTATGATTAATGATTAGGATATACAAAGAGGGGAGGGATTTGCTGAACTATCAACTGAACTGGAATACAAAAAAGGGAGGTGTGAGGAGGTCCTGAAAACTAAGCAAATGAAGGATAAGTAATGGAAGGAAGGAATTGTTTTTAACCATTTTTACTTTGTATTTTTTCTTTTTTCTTTTTGTTTTGTTTTGTAATATTCTGAAAATCCTAATAAATATCTTATAAAAAATAAAAAAAAGGAAATGCAAAGGCTCCAGGCAGCTGATGCTGAAAGGGCCACCATGTAACACCAAGGAAGGCAGCATCTGTTTGCAGGCCGGAGGGCCTCTTCTCCCCTCAGCGGAACGAAGTGCCTGCATGCCAAGAATATGGCGTGCGGATGGCTTTGTGGGGTATATATAATGCAGCATTCACAAGAGCCGGGGAGCAGATGTTTCTCTGTAGGTGAGAAGGTGGCCGAGCCTCTCCTCCAGGGGAAAGCAATGCCCTCATTGTTTGAGCATTCCGCTCTCTAGGCTCTACAGATGTGTCTGATCTCATTCAGACCGGATGGAGAGCTCAAGGCGGAGGAGGCGCAGGCTCGAGGCAGGCCTGCCGCAAGCGTTTGGCACGTTGGGGTGTGAATGAGAAGGTGCGGAAAGATCCCCATCCCATTCTTGGACGGACGCTGGAGATTGACAAGCCGCACGCCATGCAGATCGTTCTACGCGGCACTAGTGTGGTTTAGTGGTTAGAATGTCGGACCAGAACCTGGAGACAAGGGTTCGAATCCACACCTGGCTATGAAGCTCACTGGGCGATTGTGGGCCTCTCAGCCTAACTGACCTATGAGGAGGAAGAGAGCTCCTTTAAGAAAGGGATGGGATGACGGTAAAATGCAGGGCATGTGTGCTGTGTCCTTCTTCTGATAGGAACTGCTTGAGAGGGGAATGGGGGGGTCAAGGAGGTTCAGTTGTGGGGGAGTGAAAAAGGTCCCTATTTTCATCAGAGGAATGCTGGAGGGTATGCAAGCATGGAGACAGCAGACTCAGCAGGCCCCCAGCTCACCTCGTCTCAGCCTTCCACACCATGGTCAGGTGCACTCTAAGTTATATTAACTATTGCAAAGTAGATGGGGCTGAGAGTGAATGACTGGCTCTAAGTGTGCTTCACAGCTGAGTGGGGATTTGAACCCTGGTGTCCCAAATCATAGTTCAGCACTCTAACCTGGCTGGCTGGCTGTTTCTTATCTTTGCCCTCTAGCAAGTCGACCCATCCTAGTTTGGGTTGTGTGTGTGTTTCAGCTCACCACATACCTGTGAGCTTCACCCCCAGGCCTAGCAACAGTTGCCCACTTGGTGTGAGATTCCCCCACTTCATCTTAACGAGGTGCCACGGGTTAGGAACAGCTTGTCAACATCGTTAAGTAAGCTTTGCTGTGCCGGAAACAAGCCAGGTCTGCTGGGCATTCCTGGAGTTTGAAAGGCGGCAGCATGCCAGAAATCAGCACTCAGGGGCTTGTAAATCTCCAAGAACCAACCCTAGAACAGACTGGCCTTCCTCTGCTGATGAGGACGATGATGGAACATTTATTATGCAGTCCCAGCCACACTTACCCCTTCAGGTGCCCTTTTCATTTGTGAATTCACGGTGGGTTTGTGCCCTTGATGGTAGTGGAGCAGTTAAGCCATCGCATTTTCAATGCCATTTGTTTTGCAGGTTTCAGGGCAGTCATACTCCTTCATTTCCAGTTAGTGCATGTCCCCTCACTTCCTGCTGAATTTCCGTAAGTTTTTAATACTGTAATTATGTGTGTTTATTTGGAAAAGTGCTAACTAAGCTTTGGGAAGGAGGTAGGGGGACTTTAGGACCCTGTCACAGCCATCACACCTCCTTTGCAAAGCCCAGAGCCTCCTTACTTTGGGAAGGCAGTGCAGGGGCCACTAGGGGTGTCAAATGTTGCTGAGGGCTGCAAGCGATCCAGACTGACTCCCCACCAATAACAATATACTATAACAATACACCACATCAGCTATAACAATAGACAACATCAGGCACTTTGCCAAGCAGGTGTGCTCCAGCTGTTTTGGGCTACAACTTCCTGCCGGCCCAGACAGTGCTGGCTAGGGCAGGTAGAAGTTGTAGTCTAATACAGTTGGTGGGGAATACCAGGCTGGGGAAGTGTCTAATACAGTATATATTTTCCAGAAGAGCAAGTACCCTCCTGGCTTTTAAATCTGCACAGGCTACCACATATGAGCATATCATAAGAGCTGGTTATTCAGCAGTGCTATGTAATCATGTAAGTGAAGAGAGCACCAAAGTCAAATCTGAGGAATCTCCTTGGCTTCCTTTCAGAAGTGGGTCACATGCCAGTTGTGGGCGAGACCAGAGAGAAAAGTGGGTGGAGCTATGGATTTAATTATTTTTATTTTTTTAAAAATACCCTGCTTTGCACCTCATCTGGGTCTCAAAGCGGCTCACCAAAAAGAGAGAAAAGAACATACAATATACTTCTCTGAATTTTGCAGTACAGTCGTACCTTGGAAGTCGAACAGAATCCTTTCCGGAAGCCCTTTTTGAAAACCTTTTGAAAACCTTTTTGAAAACCTTTTGGCGCAGCCAATCAGAAGCCGCAGAAGCCCTGTCAGACGTTCAGGTTCCAAAACAACGTTTGCAAACCGGAACAATCACTTCCAGGTCTGCGGCGTTCAGGAGCCAAAACAACTGAGTTCCAGGCCGTTTGACAACCAAAGTACGACTGTATAGTTCTTCAGCCACGGAATGTGTCCAAAAGGGCATTTGCCACTGTAAAATGTCCCCATACAGTAATTTATTAGTGAAAATGACATACAGAAATGCATTATATTAGGGGAATTTTACCAAAATGTGTATACTAGGAGAAATTTGCACTAAAATGCAAAACATTTTAGGACTGAAACAAAACCTGTTGTGGAGAACTGAATTTAAGACCGGAAAAATGAACAACTGAGACTGACAAGATTCACCCACCCCAAATCCTGGTGTACCTTCTTCCCACCCCTGCCTTTTTAAAGGAGCAGAAACAAACTGGGCCCCTTCCCAATCAGTTGGCAACCTTACGTTAAGCCAGCTGTCCAGGGGATTCAGACTCTGAAAGGCAAAATCTGTGGAACATGTAAATACTTTTTAAAGCACAATTATCCTGCCATTTGAAAGGCATCATACATTATTCCCACAAAGGGGTAGCAGAGCACATAACTGTGCAGATGTGGCAGGCCCGGCCCCAGGGCAGTGAAAGGAACTGGGGTTTTGGGGTGGGGGAGGGCAGTGTTTCCTGCTGACATCCCTCCACCCCTTATGAAGATGGCGGGCTTTGATCTTAGGCAAGACTAACAGTCATTTATGATAACCAGCTGGGAGGAGGCTGCTATGATGGCCCCTCTCCTTGTGTTGCTTCCAACCCTGGGACCCCTGACTTTTGAACTCTGACCCCCCACCGTCTCAGTGCCCCACTGCAGGGAGCCTCCAGAGCTGAGATAATGAAGATCATGAAAGTGAATAGAGCCAAGAGAAGAAATTATGCCACTGATGACCGGGAGGCTAAGAATGGACGAATAAGCCAATTTCACTTTCTAATTCCCCCTCCCCCTCCCAGCCTTAACCTCCATTCTCCATATTTCCACATTGGCTTGAATATATGGGGGCTTGAGTGTGTGTTGTATCCCCTTGTGAAAATTCAACAGAGTTTTAGTGTGAATTTCTCCTAATAGACACACTTTCGTATGCAATTGTTCCTAATATAAAGACGTTTCTGTATGCGATAGTCCCTAAATATGTTCTAAATGTTATCTCCACCAATATAGGCATTATTAATGCACACTTCACCCCAGTTTATGCATTTTTGCACACATTACTTGGCAGAAGAACTGCATTCCAAATCTGGAGAAGTACGAATTTTGAAGGATAACCGGGTTGAGTTCCACGTATTATTTTGGAGAATGCAAATTAGGTAAGTTCCCTTTTAAATGCGAACTGAATAGAGTTTCTCCACTCTCCCTAACAGAAGATGGATCAGGATCTACCAGTAAATCTCTGAGTGATTTTCAGTAGATCACGGCGAGGGATGCCTAGCGGCTCCTAATGGATTCCACCTCATTTATGAATTCTGGATCCTGTGCAAGTTGCCTAAATGTGGACACAAACACCACTCAGACTGGCTGGAGACAGGAGACTTTTGAAGACATTTTGAAGTGTATACTTGCAATGCTGGATTACTAAATAGGCAGAGTAGGCACCACGGTGCCTATGATGTCTTTTAGGGGCCTCACGACAATGGATCAAAATAATATTGTGTAATAAAACTGGTTAATTAAAATTGTTGGTTGGTAAAATAAAAAATGTATTAGGAGATGATTTGCAAGCCCCCCGCCCCGAGATTTAGACTGCCTAGGGGCTTCTACGGGGCTTAATCTGGAACTGTATACTTGATTCTGACCAAACTAAGCCTACTAGAGCAAAATATACATCCATAGGCTTAGTTTGGTCAGAATTGAGCATACACTTCTGGAATTAATGCTAATTTGTCCGGTTCTTCTTGCATTTTTATGTTCAGGGAAGCATCCATTCTGTCTTTGCAACCAGGGCTGTCTCTATCACTAGGCAGCATCTGGTCAGCCACTATGAAAACAGGATGCTGAACTAAATGGGCCATTGGTCTGATCCAGCAGCCAGACTCTTCTTACGTTCTTAATTGGAACTGTCTACTCTACCAGCAAGGGACGCGGGTGGCGCTGTGGGTTAAACCACAGAGCCTAGGACTTGCTGATCAGAAGGTCGGCGGTTCGAATCCCTGCGACGGGGTGAGCTCCTGTTGCTCAGTCCCTGCTCCTGCCAACCTAGCAGTTCAAAAGCACGTCAAAATGCAAGTAGATCAATAGGTACCGCTCCGGCGGGAAGGTAAACGGAGTTTCCGTGCGCTGCTCTGGTTCACCAGAAGCGGCTTAGTCATGCTGGCCACATGACCCGGAAGCTGTATGCCAGCTCCCTTGGCCAATAAAGCGAAATGAGTGCCACAACCCCAGAGACGGTCATGACTGGACCTAATGCTCAGGGGTCCCTTTACCTTTACTCTACCAGCTGTTTTTATGTGCAAGATATATCCCATATTTCTATCCATTTACATCCCATCTTTCTTCCAGGTATTGGACATGGTCCTCCACTCTCCTTATTTTAACCTCACAACAAACCTGAGGAGGGGTTTAGGCAGAGGGATTGTGACTGGTGCAAGCCACACACAAACACGCTTCGTGGCCAAGTGGGGCACTGAACCCTGGTTTCCCAGGTCCAAGGTCAATATAACCCCACCTTAGGCTCTGCACAATGTTATATTGTAATGTTGGGTATGTGTGTGTCTAGTTAAATATTCTGGGTTTGTGTGGGCATATTAAAAAAAATCTTAATACAAAATTATTTATAGTAAAAGAAAAAGTTGTGGCTGGGGCCTTGTGATGAAGAGTGCCTGCCATTTTTCAGAATTTACCAACACAACACTGCACTACTCCCCACCCCTTGCAATGCAGCTCAGAAGAGATGGGAGACTGGTAGATGCCTTGCTCTGCTCTTATTTCAGCCTACCAGATTTATGAGTGTTTGCGGAACAAAGGAGAGCAGGGGTCGGCTAGCCCTTTAATCTCCAGCGAACTGCCTAGAATCCCAGATCTTTCTCTTTCTCCCTCCTTTTGCAAACTTGCTGCTTCTCTCCTAATCACAATTCTGGCGGGAGCTGTGATTGATGGGGGCAGGACAATTGGGCCTCCCAACTTTGTGCCTCCTGCCCTCCATCCCCCCCTCCTCTCTGCCGCCTTTTCGTTTATCTCCCCTCATTTTATGGTAATGAGCCCTGGCTGCTTTCCTGCTCGCAAGCAGTCTTGGATGCTTCCCCTCCAAAGGCATCCAAAGAACCGCACAAATATTACGGTGTTTTGTCCAGGGTGTGCAGTACGTGAAGGGTGAACAACTCCACCGCTCGTTCTTCTCTGCAAAGCACACCCGCCTTTCTCTGAGCACCTTGGTGACCCAGAGACCACCACGAACCTTCGACATCTCTCACTCTGGAAAAAAGAGAGAGCTGAATCTCTGTCTCTGGCAAAAAAAGGAGGAGAAGCCCAGATTCCTAGACATAGCCTGAACCCAAAACCAAACCCAGTGCCATGAGAAATAAAATAATTCAATAATGAAGATGCATGAGAATTGCATACAGCTCCATGATGCAAAACAGATGGCCCAGGCCTCTTTAAAACTACAAAACCTATGATGTAAAAGAGACTGCTCAGGCTTCCTTAAAACTACATAACCCATGAGCCACAATGAAACCTCGCAGTTTGGGTTCACATGCCCCTTGTTCCCTTTTATCACCAAATGTGCATTTGCACTCCAGAATGTGCTCCAATGCTTTTATGCTACATGCTCCACAGTCCTCCAACCAGCTATTTTATTACCAAATTCCCCACTTTTAAAATTTTTTTATCATGCATTTATATATTGGAATATTTCTTTTTGGTGTTGGTTAACAAAGCCCTCTGTGAAAAGTACTTTTCCTTCAAGCAAGCAACCACAAAGGCTTGTCAATGGAAGGAGGGAGAGGAGCTGTTTGTCCTTGGGAAGGGCCACCATCCAATGGCAGAGCACCTCTTTCGTAGGCACACGCTGCCAAGTTCAGCTCTTGGCATCTCCAGTTAGGACTGCAAAAGACCCCTGCAGAAAACCCTGGACAGGCACTACAGGGAATGCTGAACTAGATGGGCCAATGACCTGGAAGGTGGCTTCCAGTGGAATGGTCTCCCTCCAGAAGTTGTGGACTCTCCTTCCTTGGATGTTTTTAGAGGTTGGATGGCCATCTGTCATGGATGCTTTAGCTAAGATTCCTGCACTACAAGGGGTTGGACTAGATGACCCTCAGGGGCCCTTCCAACTCTACAGTTCTATGATTCTGTGTGCTCCAGCTCTGTGTATATAAGCCAAAATCTCCTAGCCACAGAACAGGTTGCCTGGCGGTCTCTGTGTGATGCACCAGTTCCTCCTTCTTATCGGGACAGCAGTGATTTTTCTCCATCTGTGCATCAGGTGTGCTTGGGTCCCTGAACCACTCCCTAAGCCCAAATCCAGCAGAACAGCATTGGTCACATCCACACCATACCTTTAAAGCCCTCTTATGCCACCTTTAGCAGTCTTGGCTGCCCACCAAGAATCCTGGGAACTGAAGTTGTTTTCATTGCTGACTTCACGGACCTCCCATTCCCAGCACTCTTGACAAACTACGGTTCCCATGATTCTTTTTTGGGGGGATCCATGACAGTTAAGACCTGTGGGTGTGACCTGAGTCAGACCTTTGCTCCATCTAGCTCAGCATTTTCTTCACCGACCACCAGCAGCTTCCGAGGGTTTCTGGCAGGGGTCTTTCCCCCCCAACCCACCTGAAGATGTCAAGGATGTATCTGAAATCTTCTGCAGGCAAAGCAGATGCTCTTCTAATGACCAGCGGAACAGAGGAAGGAACCCACCTTGCACTGAACCAGACCATTGCTCCACCTAGCTCCATATTGGCTACAGCAGCCTTCCTCAACCAGGTGCCCTCTGGATATTGTTGGACTGCAACTCCTATCATCCCTGGCTGCTGCCCACACTGGCCAAAGGCTGATGAGAGTTGTGCTCCAAAACAGGTTGGCCTACACTGACTGGCAGCTCCAGTCAGGAGTCTATCCTCAGTCTTTCCTGGAAATAATAATAATAATAATAATAATAATAATAATAATAATAATTTTATTATTTATACCCCGCCCATCTGGCTGAGTTTCCCCAGCCACTCTGTGCGGCTCCCAATCAAGTGTTAAAAACAGTACAGCATTAAATATTAAAAACTTCCCTGAACAGGGCTGCCTTCAGATGTCTCTTAAAGATAAGATAGCTGTTTATTTCCTTCACATCTGAAGGGAGGGCGTTCCACAGGGCGGGCGCCACTACTGAGAAGGCCCTCTGTCTGGTTCCCTGTAACCTCAATTCTCGCAATGAGGGAACCGCCAGAAGGCCCTCGGCGCTGGATCTCAGTGTCCGGGCTGAACGATGGGGGTGGAGACGCTCCTTCAGGTATACAGGACCGAGGCCATTTAGGGCTTTAAAGGTCAGCACCAACACTTTGAATTGTGCTCGGAAATGTACTGGGAGCCAATGCAGATCTCTCAGGACCGGTGTTATGTGGTCCCGGCGGCCGCTCCCAGTCACCAGTCTAGCTGCCGCATTCTGGATTAATTGCAGTTTCCGGGTCACCTTCAAAGGCAGTCCCATGTAGAGCGCATGCCTGGGATCCAACTTGGGGACCTTCTGCAGTCCAAGCAGGTACTCTGCCACTGAGCTGCAGCCCTTCCCCACTGGAAAATTTCAACATACATAGCACCCTGCCTCATAGCAAATCAGACCATTGGTCCATTGACCTCAGCATTGTCTACACTGGCTTGCAAGGTTTCAGAGCGGAGTCTTTCACAGCCCTACCTGGAGACACCAGTGATGGAACCTGGAACCTTGCTGCATGCAAAGCAAGTGTCTTCCCCACAAGTGTTGCTTTAGCAGCAGATGGGAGCTTTAATAAATTGACAGTGCCAGGACTTATTTATGCTCTGAATTCATTCTCTATGGATTCCGACAGATTGTCTTGTTCCACTGTCCCTTTTTCACAGGCTGCATCCCAAATGCACTCTCTGGTCTGCCCTCCCCCTCCCCTCCCTCATTCCTCTCTTTCTCCCATCAAAATTTACAATCCCTCATTTTCATTCTGCTCCACCCCCCCTCCGGACGCTTTGTTCTTCAGCCTATATCACTGCATCGCAATTGTTCCGTGTTTATTTCAAACATTTTGGCGGGCTGTCAGTCCGATGGAAATGTAATTAATTGGAGGGTTTGTTAAACCTGGGGACAATGGTGTCTGGAGCAGAGGAGGAGGGGAAGGAATAAATAGAAGAGGCTTGCGGTGGGTTTGTATGGCGTTCTAATGAACAGGCTAATAATAACAGCAGCGGTTTGCCGGGGAGCAGAACAGTGTTGGGGTTCTCTTTTATTAAATGTTTGCAGAAGTCTTAAAATGCACTGCGACTGGATTGCATCACTGCCTAGCATTAATAATGCTTGGATAAGAATTCCTTTGGGTCTAATCCTGCCAAATCTCTAGTTACCGGTACAAAGAATGTCAGTAGTCACAGCACAAGGTTCCTAATCAAGGTTGCAGTGGTGGTGGGTGTTCCCCCCTCCCCTTGTAAGAAAATAAATAAAGGGGAAGGAAGTTGGATGCAAAGTCAAGCTGCAGCCTTTAATCAGTTGATCAGTGCAAATTAGCAACTTGGGCTGCAATCCGAGCCCCACTTACCCAAGAGTAAACCCCATTTAATTCAACAGGCCTTGACTTTTGAGTAGACATGGTTCAGATTGCACTGTAAAATTCTAATTGTAGATTCAGAACTGGATCTGTTACTCAGGAAATGCAATAAACTGATGAGAGCAGATCCACACCACACATTTCAAGCATATCCAACACACATTTCAAACACACAACTCCCTCTGCCAAGAATCTTGGGAATCGTAGTCTCCCCCCCCCCCCTGAGCTACATTTCTCAGGACACCTAACAAACTATGGTTCCCATGATTCTTTGGGAGAAATAGTCTCTAGCGACTTATTTGCACAAAAGTTTGAAATACACTGGTGCTACCTGGGAATTCAAAGAAACGCCTCAAAAGTGTGATTTTTAAATGTAATTTGTGAGTTTTTTAGCTCTTCTCTTTCTGTCTCTGACATGGGTCTCGCTGAATCCAACGGCTTCCAAATGTAGGCAAAAACCACCTCCTCAACCTTGGGAATATTTATAATCATAGAATTGTAGAACTGGGAAGGACCATGAGGGTTGGATAGTTGACTCTCCGGTGTCTTCTAACTCTAAATTCTAGGGTAGCTCAGTTGGTAGAGCATGAGACTCTCAATCTTAAGGTTGCGGGTTCAAGCCCCACATGGGGCAAAATATTTCAGCATTGCAGAGAGTTGGACTAGATGACCCTGGTGGTCCCTTCCAACTCTGATTCTATGTGATCACGTTTTCTAAAGAGTAATCTAGAAGCAGTGGGGGGGGGCTTGTGAGGAGTGAGGTGAATATAGGGGACGATGGAAAGGGAAGAGATGGGAATGTTGAGGAAATTTTGTTCACTTATCTTGAACTGTTGCACTTTGTAACTTGTAAAGAAAAGTTAGTTAGAAATAACAAAACAAAACAAGAACCCCCCTGAATTTCTCACTCTCCGAAACAATATTTTTGCCTCCTTTGAAAAAACAATTCCCAAACTCACAACTTCTAATTGCTCCTAATCCTATGGGCTTTAAATGATGGCTTGATTTAAATGCACTCAAAACTCTGAAAGCAAAGCCTGCCTGCCTCTGCCTGCAATGGACTTCCACACATCTGGAGAAAAATATTTTCAGAGTCCGTCCGTCCGTCGCCCCCTTTTTTTGAAATCACATTGTTCTCAGAACCACTAACTTGCTAATCTAGCGGAGAATCGCACCCTCCCCTTTGTCTGCATTCCGATTGGCCGAAAGTTTCCCAGCTTGGTTTTGATTGGGAAACCGCAGAGGATCTCCAAACCCCCCCCCCCGCCCCGCGTCTCCAAACCCATACACTCCCGGCTCTTCCCTCCGCCCGGGTTGAAACTGCCTTGCGCTCTGCGGGCGTCTTATATAGTCCGTTTCAAACTCACCATGAGAATCTCGGGAGCTTCCCATCTCTCTCCAGGTCTGCCTTGCCCCCGATTGCAGCGTCTCTCGCAGCGAGCGGGGGCGAGGACGCGCTATTTTGCAGCCTGAAAAAGAGGGGAAGGAAGAGAAAGCGGGGGATTCCTTGCGAGGAGCCAGAAGCAAGCCGGCAGAGGGAGGAGATGGATGGTGGGGAGACTCGGGCGTTCCTAACTCCGCCAGCACGTTCCAGGATGGTGCTCCAAAAGAATTCCTTCCCCTACATCTGATTCTTCTCCTCTCCTGCTTCTTTGCCCAGGAGTTAGAGACCTTAAGATGTCTTTGGCGTTGGGGCTCCTGGGCTTAGTTCTTCTGCATATAGCCCTTTGCAATTACTCAGAAGATCAGTGTAGCTGGAGGGGGAGGTAGGTATTAATTACGAACAAATTTCTTGCCTTCAAAACGTGTAGTCGAAAAGTGATGCTGTTTGACCTTCATTCATCCGCAGAGGTTTTTCCTTCTCTCTTCGAAATACTGGGTTGTGTAGGTTCTTCAAACCTGCTGTGTTCCATGCTAGCAGCTAGAGTTTAGAATGAGTCCTGGTAAGCATTAAGGGAGTCAGTGGTGCAACAGCAATTCAAGGAGACAGGCAGAAAAAGAAATTAGATTTTGGATGCGGAAGCGGTGCAGGGTGTGAGTCACGGGCTTGTCTAGCCAACTAAGTTTTACACAGAGTAGACCCATCAAAATGAATGGGCCTAAGTGAGCCAGGCTCATTAACTTCAGTGGCGTCTACTCTGAGTTAGAACCAACAGTGGCTACAATCCACAGCTTCTTATAAAGAGTAGGGTCAAATTCCCTTCAGGGTTTTGCAAAGCGAGCTGGTGATGGGTCTCCTTAACTGGGCCTTTTATGTTGCAAAACCATGTCCTGGGGTTGGTTTGGCATCCTCCTTAACTGATTGATTTTAGCTTTTTCATGGAATTACAATGGGACTTGGCTGCTGGTTATTGTTGTCCCCCACCCCCACCCCACAAGTGGAGATTGGGAGTGCAATTCTATATGTGCATACTCAAAAATATGACTTACTGAGTTCAGTGGAAAAGGATTGCTGCCTAACTTGTTCTGATATTTTATGGATAAGAGAGAGAGAGAAGTATCGGAATGTCCTACTGTTCTTTGACAATGGTTTACCAGAAAGACAAGTGAGGTCATACTTATTTGAGAGTTTAACTTTCCTCCTGGCTTAGTAAACATTGATTGCCCTAAACCATCCTTGTTCACGGACCATAATTCTGGTCTTCTGCTAGGGACGCCTAACTTATACTGGCTGAAACTGATTGAGTGATTTTGTGGACTCTCTTAGGATGGTGCTTGTCATTTGAATCTTATCAGTACTGCAAAATAAAAAGTACTGTAAAATAGGAGAAAAACTTCTGCCTGAGGATTGCTAAATTGGCTCAGTTGGTAGAGCATGACACTGTTAAGCTCAGGGTTGTACGTTTGAGCCCCATGTTGGGCCAAAGATTGCTGCATTACAGGGGTTTGAACTAGATAGCCCTCATGGTTCCTTCCAACTCTGCAATTGTATGATTAGCTAGAGGCATCATTTTAGTGTGCTACAAGTTTTTCTTCACTTTCCGAACAACTGATTAAATAGGGCAGCCCTTTTTGCAACGTGTGCTGCAGTAGCAAACCGAATCCATAAAGATTTCTGGATTTGGCACCAGAAAGGCTTAGTTTGTTTTTTAATATTATATCCAACCTTTCTATAATTGAAGCTGGTTTGTGACACTAGTTGCTATGCTGGTGTCCAGAATGCTGGCCACACTTCAGGGCATGGCATGCCTAGATTGAGATGCAGGGGGTCATAAGAACAGCTGCGCTGGACCAAAGCCTGTGCTTTAGAAAATAATAATAATTTGACAAGCTGTGTGGCTGGAGGCAATGGTACAACTAGGTAATTTTAGATGGTGGGATTTATGGTCCTAAATCCCTATCGCCCCACCCCCAGTAATGGGTTTTCCTTCGCTTCCATCAAAATGTGTCGAGCCAGCCCTCTTGCATTCCAGGGCCCTGTTTCTTATTCTGCTGAGTTGGGGCCCCACCATAGAATCATAGAAATGTAGAGTTGGAAGGGGACCCCCAGGGTCATCTAGTCCAGCCCCCTGTGATCCAGGAATCCTGCCCACAGACATCCCTGGGTGGGCTTGAACCACCAAACTTTTGATGAACAGGAAAGCGCACTGACCCATTCCACCACGGGATCCTCTGCCCTAAAGTCCTGTCCTAATGGCACCACTGGCTAGAGGAGAAAACATTGGCGTTAGACTGAATGCTTCTGAGCTAGTGTGGCTTGTGGGACTCAAAATGTTTCTGATACCTGAACATGGTGGCTATGCGATTCCTCCACAGTTGGAGGTAGTAATGTGTCTGAATGCCACTTGCTGGAAACTGCAGGAGGGGACAGTGCTTTTGGGCTTGGGTCCTTCTTGCGGCTGTCTCACAGTCATCTGTTTGGCCACCATGAGAACAGGATGTTGGACTAGATGGGCCATTGGATTGATGCAGCAGGGTCCTTTTGCTGTCTTATACTGAGTCAGACCACTAGTCCATCTAGGCCAGGCATGTCCTAAGTCCATATTGGGGTAAAATTCTACAAACAAACTTCAGTCCTAAAAAAAAAAAACACCTCAACAACTTCGGGGTAAAATCATAAAAAGCTCAACAACTTTGGTCGGCCTTCACGCTTGTTTGGCCCTCTTTGAAAATAGTTTGGGCACCCCGATCTAGGCTGATGTTTTCTAGACTGACGGGCAGCAGCTCTCCAGGGTTTCAGACAGGGATTGGCCCTGGGCCCTTCTGCATGCAAAGCAGAGGCTCTACCACTGAGCTACGGCGCTTCCCCATTTCAAAAAGCAACAAAAGAACACGTCATACTTCCTTTGTGTAGAATGCTGAAATGTGACGCAGCGATGGTGGGGTAGGCTGGAGGGAAGGAGGCAACGCCTGTGTATGGCGACTTACAGGACATCATCATATCGAGCAGAGACAGTGAGAAGTTAATGCAGAGATTGGAGCATGGCTGGCTTGGCCAGTTTAGCCTCCTCTCTATGACAGCCCCTTGTGGCATTCATTACAGTGGCCGAGCTGAGAAATACTGGAGATTTGGTTTTATTGCACGTTTCATCTTAAATGGTAACCTTGCACTTGAAATGCGCTTAGAGAATGTATTGACAGTTTGCATTGGAATTATCATAAATTCACCATCATTTATTTCCTTCCCACGTAATTTAGTATAGTTGTATCCTGTGGGAAATGCAAGAAAGAATGACAACATTGTTAGGTTGTGTGGGGGCTTTGAAAGCTGGTGGGTTTTTTTAAAAGTCTCACTAAACAGACCATGCTGGGTTTGTTGAGCAAATGCTCTGTTACAATTTCCCCTCTTTTAGCAGCTGTTCCCCGTGGGAGGTGGGGCAGTCCAGGCCCTTGCTACCTTATAGAGCAAAGGTTGCTGCTGCAGCTCAGCTGAATCAATTCAGCTGTTGAGCCACAGACAGCTGACCATAGTTGCTGTGTGTCTTATTATTATTATTTTCATCGTTATTACACAATCACTGAGCATAACACTTTTTAGGGAGTGCAGGCGGACAAGTCTCCATCCTGATGGGTTTATGATTCAAAATGCAACGTAGGGAAAACATCAGAGGAAGGGGAGTCAGGACAAGCGAGGGCCCCTCCAGACTGGTGCTTTATTGCGGGTGTATTCTGCAACATTTGTATGTTTACATTTGCAAACTGCACTGAACCCTTTAGATCGTATTGAAGGCATAGTTTTATAGGTCTTTTTATATTAAAATAATTGAACTCAGAAACTTGTATTTTTCCAGGGTTGATGACTGACCAGTATTGATTTAGATTGCCCAGTATAATCTGACCCAGAGGTCTTTGACTATGTACCAACCACTTCTCTTTTAAGCCTTAAAATGAAGGAGGGGAGTATAAAAAGGGGGGTGCTTGTTCCTCTCATTAATCCTGTAGGACAACTGTTCTTCCTCCTGTGTCCTTTGCAGAATGTCCAAGATGAAAATGGGAGGCGGGGAGGTATCTGCAGGCAAAGCAGCCTTTTGAAAATAACCCACAGCTGCAGGGCAGAATAATTTAGATTGCAAGAGCTTTGAAGAATTCAACCTTGTGGGTTAGTTCTACTCAGAGAAGACTCACAGAAATTAGTGGGCATGACTTATTTATGCACATTCATCTTAATAGGTCTACCCTGAGTAAAACTTAGTTGGCTACACAAACCTTCTGTTTTCTGAGTATTCTATGAATATGAATGAACCGTGTACTGCAGTCCATGAACAGGAGAACCCTCAGACTTCATTCATAAAGAAGTGGCCCACTGTGTCTTCTAGCATAATGCGTTTGCTTTTGTGGGGCCTCTAGAGGGCAGCATAACAGGGTTTTGGAGGGGCGTGTCGGGTGTGTGACACAGCTGCCGCATCTGTTTCTCAGTGATCTTGATCCTTTGCAGAGCAGATGAGTCACTTTTGCTGCAAACCCATGGAGATTAACGGACAGGTCTAACTTAGGCTCAGGGTAACTGAATCTCCTCTGAGTTAAACTTCATTGTGTTATAACCATAAGAAGGAAGAGTGGCAGGAACCTTCAACTTACCCGCAAATGTTTAGCACCTAAGCCGCCAAACAGGTCACCAACTTCCTCCTTCTGCTGAGATGTGTTTCTGTTTAAAGTAGAGTGATTATGTCTAAATTTGCATTTTTACATATACACTAGCACCATACATTTTTGGTGGTGGTGAAAAACAAAGTGCCAGTACTCCTATATCTATAAAATTGCTGTGGGTGCCAGCACAAAATGGCTGCCATGGGCAGCGGGAAAAAGAGGTGACTGTGCTCCGTACCGGTGAAGATAACCACAAAAAAGCTATTGCATTAGCATATTTAAAGTTTGTACAAATCTGTGTCTTTTGTCATTTTTTGTGATGCATTTCATCCGTTTTGACAAAGAGTAAGGGGCAACTCTAACTGGGGAGAGAAGAGCAATCTGAACAGGTGTTAATGATGCAGAGGCAAGCTCTGAGAATGTGGTTGAGAAATACAATGGGACTCATTATTGGCCACTGTGTCTCCCTGAGAGCCAGGGCCAGCTCTGACATTAGTTAGGTGCTGGAGAACAGCAGCAATAGTCAGGGGTGGCCCAATAAATCTTGCTGCTTACAGCAATGGACCAGATGCTGCTGTTGCCACTCCATGCCATACACCACTGCAGGACAGCCCAGGATGTTTGGTTGCTCCAGGAAAAACTGGAAAAGCCACCACCCTGCCTCTTCCTCCTCTCTGGAGGCACCATTGCCTGGAGGCAGCCCAGGGATTAAAAAGAGGCTGGAATGGAGCGCGTGGCACAGCAGCGGCACCCCTCTCAGCTGTCTGTAGGCTGCCCCAGTGTGCCTCATGGGTGGGCTGACCCTGGTCCACTGCAATGGCCATTGCTGATGGGTAGACATTTTTTCACACCTGGGAGCAGCAGACTAGCTTGGGAGGGTGCTATGCAACGCACACAGCTCTGTTCTCCAATGTCTCACCTCTCACACCCTTTCAAACCTCCCTTCTCAGCCCTAACTTGCCTCTTTGCTGATATTCTTATGATACCAGTTGCTGCCTTCTTCCTGACTGATGTATGTCCTGACTTTCTTGGGAACAGATGAAACTGCCCCGGCTTCCTTGTTATACTAACTCCATTCCACTATCCCTTGCAGTGGTCTGTCGCAGGAATCGGGCAGCGTGGAACAGATCTCCTTGCACTGCGCTGAGGGATCCCTGGAGTGGCTATACCCAGCGGGAGCCTTGCGCCTAAGCCTTTTCCCCCGCCTTCCCACAGGCACCACCGGCAGAGAGAACCCCAGGCGGGTGACAGCCTGCATCAAGTCCTCCAACAGCTTCCGAGGAGCTCAGATTTACTTAGAGAGGGACGGTGTCTTGGAGCTCCTCCTCTCGGAGGCCGACGCTACCTTGCAGCCCAAGGTGCGCTGTTTTAGCTGGCTGCCCAAGGAGAAGGTTGCCTTGTTCCTCCAGTCCACCTTGCACCAGGACATCAGCCGCCGGATCGCTGCCTTCCGCTACGAGCTGCGGGGTGACTGGAACTCCCGCTTCTCGTGGCCGTCCAGAAACCTCAGCATGGAAGGTAAAGTTCTTTTGGCTTTCATGGCTGGGTTTGGAGGGAACATTTTTGATGCATCCGTGGTAGTATTTTCTCAAGCTTTTCTCTTCTAACTTATCACACCCAGAAACCATCTTCTCCACATGTGAGCATGGAGAGACCAAGACCAAGAATCCATTTAGCCATGCCAAATCATGGCTTGTACGAAGCGTGGTTTAGAACCCAAACCATGGTTTGAGCTTCCAAACATATAGGCAACCCATGGTTTACTGTTGTTTTACCATCTCACCAATTCCATTTCCATGGTGTGTGGGGGTGTAACTTTGTCAATTTAGCCATCATGCCAAAACAGAGTTAAGCCTCCTTAAACATGATTTGATATAATTGTGGATTCAGTTTAAAATAAATGTGACCCCTTCCCTTTCATAAAACTGTACAGGGAAATGTCAGAGGGACCCTTCCTCTCTCCCGCCTCCAGATCAGGGTAGGATTACAGGGCAGTAGGTATATGCCCATTTTCAGAAATCTAACATAGACCAAGGAAGTTCTGCTGCTGGGGGGCATTCAATTCACCCAATTCCTTGGACCTTGGGACCCCCAAACTCCAAACTGGTTCTGCTTTTTTTCAAGAGGAAAATAAGTTAAAGGACAAACAACTCTGAAGTAAAGCAGTTTGGTATAGTTCCTTAACCTTTACTTATGGAACCCCCACATTCAAAGCATGAGACTTTTAATCTCAGGGTTGTGGGTTAGAATCCCAGATTGGGCAAAAGGTTCCTGCGTTGCAGGTTGGACTAGACGACCCTTGTGGTCCCTTCCAACTCTTTGATTCTGTGAAAGATGGTATTCCTCTGAATACAAGATTCGGGAGAGGGCCAGGGTCAGCATAATCAGCCTTCCTCCCTGTTGCTGGCTGTTCACCTGCCTTCTGCCAAATGAGCAGTGAAAAAGGCAAGGGAATAGGACCAGCATCCTCTTAGCTGGCTCTTTCCCTCTGCCTTGCAGTAATGCAGATTTGGCCCAGAAGAAGATAGCAAGCCAATGGGCAGTGATAGTGACACTGGCAAGGAGGGGCAAGGTTTTAGATTTAGGTTTATTAAATGTGTATATTGCTTCTCACTAAAAGGTCCTGAAGCAATATACAAGTAAGTGAAAAATACAGTAATAAATATTCAAAAACATATTTAAAAGAATATAATAAAATGTAATAGCATTGGTGCTGCCAACAATCCCCAGGAAAGGAAATATATATTTGCCTGGCGCTGCAGTGATGCTAAGTTTGGGGCCAGGCAGGCCTCCCTAGGGAGAGCATTCCATACAGAAGGGCTTACTGCAGTGAAGGCTCTTTCTCTTGACACCACACTCTGTGCCTGGCTTGCAGGGAAGGGCTTTGGATGATGATCTCAGGGGCCAGGCAGGCTCACCTAGGGGTCCCCCTGTATAAGACTTTATAGGTCAAAACTCGCTCAGGATATTTTGCCCAGGATCCTTTGAAATCTGAAGTTGACACTTGGGAGGTAGGGATAGACAAATATGTCAATTGCAGGCTTTCCCAGTACAATTCCTCCCATCTTAGCTCAGCTGGTAGAGCATGTGACTCTTAATCTCAGGGTCACGGGTTCAAGCCCCATGTTGGGCAAACAATTCCTGCATTGCAGGGGTTTGGACTAAATGATGTTCATGGTCACTTCCAACTCTACAATTCTATTATTTCTACATAAGCTTTTTTTTTAGTTCCCATCCATGAAGTTCTCCTAATATACACATTTACTATGCAATCTGCCCTAATATACACATCTTTGCAAACCAATTTCCCCTAATATAATGCATTTCTCTATATTATTTCCACTAATATATGCATTTTATGCATGCTTTACCCCAGTATGTGCATTTTTGCGCACATTATTTGGCTGGGGAAATGCATTGCAAAATTTGGAGAAGCTCCCGTTTTGAAAGATAGATGTGTTTCGGTTTGCATATTGTTTTGGAAAATGTACATTACCTTTGAACATGAACTGAATTGAATTCATCCCCCATCCCCATTCAGGGAAGAAAAGATCAAGGGAGGCTCAGTGCTCTCAAGCTCTATTTCCAAGCTTTCCAGAATCATTTCCCTGGATACTGCTAGGAACTGAATCCTGGAACAGATGAATATTTGCATCATATTCTTATGCCTATTGTGTTACAAGTGGCACATGCGTAGGATCATGAGCCACTGTGGTGTAGTGATTAGAGTGCTGGATTAGAGCGTGGGAGACCTGGGTTCAAATCCCTACTCAGCCATGAAGCTCGCTGGGCCAGTCATTGCCTCTCAGCCTAACCTAGCACACAGGGTTGCCTTGAGCTCCTTGAAGGAAAAGGAGGCTATAAATGTAAAATTAAACAAAATAAATAAGGAAGAAACATGACGTTCAGGGCTATTATAGGTCCTGCTGGAAAGAAAGAGTGCATGTAGCTGGGGCTGTTTGCTTTTTCCTTGGTGTGGAAATAAGGTTGCCACACAACCAGAAAATTTATGTCCTGATTAGAATGGTGTCCTTTTTAGCCTGTGTGAAGAAGCTTTTTCAGCCCTGGGGCTGCATTCCCTCGTGGTCAACTTTCCGGGGGCCACATTTCAGTGCTGGGTGGGGCCGGGGCAAAAGTCTGTGGGACGATGGATGTGACTCATTCACTTGCGCAGTGCCTTAGCCCAATCCAAGAGTTGGTTCAGCAATTCCAGGCTCAAACAGCACACTGGGCTTTCTCCAGGCAGGCAAGAAAGCATTCCTTTCACAAAGCAACAGCTTTCTATAATGGTCAGAGTACTATGACTCATATATCCTTTAAAAAGAAGAAGAAGTCTTTCCCTACTTGGGGTAAAGGAACTCTGCACATGCTCTGAGGCACCCTGATGCTAGAGCATTTGCAAACCAAACATGGAAACAGTCTTAATTTGCTTCCCAGGCTTAGGAAAGCGGAAACTCCTTTTGCTGTCGTTGCATTTCAAGGACTCCGAATGCTGTGTGGGCCTCCCTCACGGCAAGGGGAGGAGGTGGGCAAGTAACCCAAGCCGTCCGGAGTGTGCTCAGCAATCGAAAACACAAGGCCGAAGAAGGAACATCTAATCGGCCTCATCTCTGAGCTAACAAAAGTCCAGTGTGCGGCAGCTCGTAGCGGAGTCACCCGCCAAGACGTTCAGCTGCATCTCAGATAAGGCCTGAACATGGTTACCATAGCAACCCTAGGCATTCTCCCCAACTGGGGAATGGCTTTTTTTTTTTTTTAATACTTTTTACTAGGCTTTGTCTTGAGAAATGTTGGCACCTAGGGAACAGCCCAGCCCAGAGTTAGGCCCACTTGAGGCCTACCAGCTTAGCTCTCTAATGCCAATGGGATTGTGCCCAGAGGGCATCTTAGGAAAATAGGAGGCTGCCTTCTACCAAGGCAGGCCATTTTGTCAGGCCTATTTCTTTATTACATTTCTATCCCGCCTTTTCCTTCAAGGAGTTCAAGGCGGTACACATGGTTCTCCCTTCCCCCATTTTATCCTTGCAACAACCCTGTGAGGTAGATTAGACTAAGAAGCTGACTAATTTCAAGCAACCTTCTACAGGTACTTAAACCTAAGAAGATCAATTAGTTGGAGCGTGGTGCTCATAATGCCAAAATTTCTATTTTGTTTGGCTGTAAATCTTAACTCTTATGAAGTATATTCTTTCCATTAAACACTAGGAGCAGAAGGGGAAGCTTAAAGCTAAACCTTTTAGTTTAGGGTTTTTAATGTTTCATATCTATCTGTCTATCTATATCTAGTTATGGAAAATGAGAATTTATGTTGAGTTAATTTTGTTTATAGAATTTAGGTTTAAAAAACACCCCACCTCTGCATATGCCAACTTGACATTTAATACATGAAGAGTTTGAAAACTCGCAACAACCCTGTGAGGCAGGTTAGGCTGAGAGGCAGTGGCTGGCCCAAGGTCACCCATTGAGCTTCATGGCTGAGTAACTGTGAAAGCCTCATCTCCCAGCTTTTAGCCCAACTCTCTAACCACAACACCCCTCCTGATCAAGAATGAGGAAACTGTGGCCCTCCAGATCTTGATGGGAGTCAGTCTGAATGGTCAACAGCCAGCGATGATGGGAATTGCAATTCAACAACTTCAGGAGGGCCACTGGTTCCTCACATGTTGTCTGGCAGTGGCTTTCAAGGCATTTGGTCCGGGAATCTTTCCCAGCTCTTCCTGCTCAGCAGAGAAGCCCCACATAGAGCTCATTGCAGGAATCCAGTCTTGAAGTAACCAGTGCATGAACTGCTGTGGCCAGGTTTTCCCAGTCCAGGAGCAGTTGATGATATTGTACCAGTCACAGCTGATAAATGATGCCTCTAGCCACAGAGGCTGAGTCTCTAGTGTCAAAGATGAATAGAGTGTACCAGCCACTTTCCATATTTTCACCTGGCCCAAACATGCCCTGGACTGCTATTTCTCCTTCCCCTCCATAGATGAAGCAAACTTTTCACGATGCCTTTCTACGCTTTACTTCTGCCTCCCCTCATTCTCCACATCCCTTCTCTAAAGAAGAACAATTGGCATGAACTCAGTTTGAGTGACTGTTTCTTTTTTTCTCTTTGGAAGATGCAGGGAGCTGCCGTCCGTGTAACAACACTGAGATTCTGATGGCCGTTTGCACTAGTGATTTTGGTGAGTACATCTTCCTCAACGTCACGTTTTCCACTCCTCTCTTCAGCATCGTAAATTGAAGCTGCCTTATACTGAGTCATTGGTCCATCTAGCTCAGTATTGCCCACACTGACTGGTAGCAGCCGCTCAGGATTTCAGACTTCTGGACTGCCCAGTTTGCTTAGCAATCCTTATTGCATTCATCATTGCAACCAACCCTGTGATTGTGATTTACTTGCCTAATGTTACCCAGGGACCCAGGCCTAAGAACTGTTAATTGCACGGCTCTCTCTTTTGCTTTTTCCTTTTACATGGGAAAAAAATGCCATAGAAATCACTCTTAATAATGCGTGTGCAGCTGTGAAAGCTAAAGCCTGCCCTTCTGGAACTCTGTCCCTGAATGCTGCTTAAGTAGCTAACCAGGAGCTGCCTGCCTGCCAGTCCGGGCTGAGGCACCAGCAGCCAGAGCTGCCCCCACAGAGCAACTCGCTCCCCAGCTGGGACGATGTGGCCTTTCCATTCTCCCCTTTAAATGCCTGCACACTCAAGGCTGTCCGGCTCAGTGGGCAGTTGCCAATTATTGCCCCGCACGCTCTGCTAACCTCCAGATTTGCAACCCTAAACAATAGGAGAAGGGGGTCAGGGGGTCTGCTGGCTGCCCACTCCAAAGTTCCCATGGCAACCAGGAAGTCAAACAGGAGAACAAGGGGATTTGCCACGCCGGATCAGATCACGAGCCTGTCAGAATGATCTCGGAGGGGCTAATTCTTGCTGATTTGGAGGAAGCCAAAGGCACCTGCGTGCAAGCAGGCTAATAGCTGGATTCCTCTCCATAATTGGCTAGATCTGACCAGTTATATTCAGCTGTAGCCTTAGAGCTGGGTGCCACTACAGAGCCACTTCTGTTGATTGATTTGGTTTTGTTTCCATGCTGCCTTTCAGTGCAGGGACCGCCAGTGTGGCTGAGAAAAATAAAAATAATAAAACAAGCCCAGCAGCAATAAAGTACAGCATTGATTTAGAAATGCCAACAAATACATAAAAGCCAAGCAAGCAAAACCAAACTGAAATAACTGATTTGTTTGTGGACAAATGTATGCCAAAACAAGTAAGTTTTGCTGTTTGCCTAAAGCAGGGATGGGGGACCAATATCGGGTCCTGGGGCCAAGTGTGGCCCTCCAGGCAACTCTGTCTGGCCCTCGGAGATCTCTACAAGCCACACTCGCCAGCCCTGCTCCATGACCAGCTCAAGTGCTTTTGCCTAGCCAGAATATGTCCTTGAACTGTGGCAAAGCCTCTTGCTTCCTGAGTAGAAGACAGAGAGAGACGTGTGTCAAAACTTCTGACTTTTGTAGAGCTGGAGTACAGCCTATTGTACAAAAATAAGGGCCAGATCACCTGCTCCATCCACTCTTTGCCTCTGGATCCACCCACAACTGACATGCCCCCCACCAAAGCTTAGTGTTGAGGGGTGAACTACAGCTCCCAGGATTTTTTGGGGGGGGTATGCTTTAAATGTGCTTTAGATGCATGATGTGTGCACATGGATGTAGCCAGGATTTGGGGGAGGGGCAGAACCGATGTAATTAGTTAATGAAGTATTTCTATTGTTTTACTTGATTTGGGGGGCAGCTGCCTCCCTGCCCCCCCTTGACTACGCCCATGTGTGTACACATATCCGTGGTTTGTAGGATTTCATACACACACACACACACACACACACACACAAACAGTTGGGTTTTATCAGTGTGCCACTGCTCTGTAAGTTATTGTTGACATTGTATTGATATATCTCATTGACTGTGCTATTTTTAGTTTTTAAACTGCCGTACATTTGGATTTAATCTGCTGTTTGTTCTCTCTGTGTGTTTTGTAAAACTGCTGTTGGCCAGTATATATATATTTCAAACAAACAAACATTTCTGTTTTCTCCACTCCTTCCATCCCTGCAGTCATCCGTGGCAATATACGGACAGTCTCCAATGAGATGGAGTCGCAAGAATCCATCATCAGTGTCAGTGCCACCCGGATCCACCGCCAAAAGTTTGCCTTGTTCCAACCGGTTGGCAAATATGGGAAATCCACGGGCAGCATCCGTACTCTGCTACGGTGTGGGGTGAAGCCGGGACCTGGCAGCTTCCTGTTCACCGGGTGGCTGCATTTTGGGGAGGCTTGGCTCAGCTGCGCTCCTCGCTACAAAGACTTCCGCCACATCTATGAGGGTGCACGCCAAGCTCACGAAAACCCCTGCGAAGTCTCCTTGGACTGATTTGTTGATGGGAAGTGGGTGGCAGGAATCGGTTTTGCCAAGAGGGCAGGATCCACACACACAAACCACACCGTGCCCATGCTGGAAATGGCATTTCCTGGCTTAACACAGGGAGACGAGACCTGTCTTTTGAACCCAGAAGGAACAAGCTCTTTTCTTTCCTGTATGAGACTGATGGCCCTACCCATAACTTTCTCATTGGGTCTTTCCAGCAAAGGGAGGAATTGTAGGCCAAGCGAAAGGGCAACTGAGCTCCTCTCTGGTTAGGTTGGAACATGCCACAAATTGCATAAAGGGAATTGAAACTCTCCCAGTGTGTGGGAAATGTTGTCTTGCTCAGGACTTCTTTATCCTATTATTTACTGGAGCGCCAAATCAAACCCACACCTAAAAATAAGTGCATGATGCCCTTCCTGAGTTCCGCCCCACCCCCCAGCAAACCCCTATTGCTATTGCCTATGGATCGCATATGCATTACCACCCCTCCCAACAGGAAATAGCATCACAGACAAGGAGACACTTCATTCGCTGCTCCTGCCTCCTTCCCAGTTTCTGGATGAGCTAAGGAAGCCTGCAAAGCGACCTCGTCTGTCTCTCCCTTCTGCGGCTTCCTTGGCAGGAGAACCACCAGGATTACATCTCGGTCAGTGGCCAAAAACATAACAGGAATGAGATTCTCTTTTGAAAAAGTACAGTCTTGATTTTCATTGGAACACCTTCATTCAATCAAACGTGGCAGAAGACATCAGGTAGGAAGACAAAGTGAGCAAGCAGTAGAAGTGAGAAGTCCGTTTACCCCTTCTTGGGCAGGTGATTTTGCAGGCAGGCCTCAGACCTCCATGTGAACTGGTGAATGACAGGCCGGATCATTTCCTGCTGCCAAATCAGCCAATGGTGGCAGAAATTTGGAGGGTGTTCCCCTGGGCATAGGACCAACCACCCAGTGGCAGTGCTTAGCCCCACGCCCAGGGCCAGGATATATTGCGGGCCTGCCTGTCCTCTCTCTTCCTGCGCCGGTTCTGGAGGGCCAGGCTCCATTGGATTGCATCGTGGAATTTTCCTACCTGATTGAATTGTGGATCCTGGATCGTTCATTCCTGCTGGTGTGCTTTGCTCAGTGTACACCTTTAAAAGAAAAGAAAAGAAAAGCCTGCATCAATGTAACACTTGAGATGCCACAGATATGGCTATAGTTCAAAGGCGGGCAACCTGTGGGACCTGCATATGTTGCTAGACTCCCATCATTTGCAGCCAGCATGGCCAGTGTTAAGGGACGATGAACTTGTAGGTACACCAAAATCCTGCAGGGCTACAGGTTCCCCAACCCTATTACAATCAACCTTTCATGTTTCTCTGCCCCTATGAATTCCAAATCTAGATAATCTAGTCCATCGGATATGGATTTCTAACCCAGCTTCAGTGATGAGCTCAGGTGTTAAGGACCCAACCCCAGGTGTTGTTGCAGCTTTTCCTGGTAAAATTTAATACCCTGTCCCTAACCTAGGGGTGGACCCCCTGCCTCTCTCCAGATGTTGTTGGACCCCCACCTTGTTGAGGTGTGGTTTTTTTGTATGTGTCATTTTTTTCTTTTGCTTGTTTGTTCTTACATATTTGAAAACCTAACAAAAACAAATTTAAAAATACAGTTTCAGAAAATGCAAAATAAACAAGCAAGCAAAAGAATTTAAGCTTGAGAAGTTAGCCTGTCTACAAACCACCTTAAATCAGTTTTATTAATCCAGTTTAAATTAAACCACTGAAAATCTCAAGTTTAGGTAAACCCTTAAAACTAGTTTTCAGTCCAGTAATTATTATTATTATTTTTACAAGTGAGGATTGAAGGAGTATCATGTGCACTAAAGTTATAACGATACCAAATTTGAGATTTTGTTTTTTAAATCTAAATTCTATTGTAAGGTTTATGTGTATGTGTGGTTTCTTTCATTTTCTTTTCTTTTAAAAAGTGAAATGTTAATATAAAGTGAATCACCACAGTCAGAGAGACACTGCCAGATGCATTTGGGCCGTCTGTAGTAATTTTTAGACCAAAAGCAAAACAAAATGCTGAGAAGATCTGTAATATTTTAAATATAGTTTTTGTACATATTCATGTCTGTGTACAGGTCAAGAGAGACAAATCTGACTCTATGTAGCTTGTAATGGTGGGATTTCTTTTCCATTATTTGTTCTTTTTTAATCTTCCATTTGTCTTGGGGCTGGGAGGGTACATTAAAAATGCTTCTTAGTAATGCCTGATCTATGGTGATTTCTCTCCCTGGCTGGGTTTATTCTTTCGCCCCTTGGCAGTCTTCAAACAAAATGAACGGAGCACTCGAAAGAGCTGGAGGATGGTCAGCTAGATAATTATTTGTCTAGGGAAGCAGCCGAAACAGCAGCGGTCAAACGAGCTCGAATAATTTAACAAGCTCTGGAATGTGCAGTAGCGAAGGACAAGGCCGGAGCATTGATTTTGGCACCTGAGGCGGAAAATCCCAATGAGTTGCGCATTGCACACATAAGTACACACACGTATAATAACTGACCAGTTGCCACCTTTGATGAGTTTCCCAGAAGTGCAGCTCAGTGAGTGATGAGAATGGAAGCATTGGGACACAGAGCTCTGTTGCTTCAAGTGTTTTCCTCCATTGCCCAATGCGCTTGTTGTGGAAGCAGGGGTCGGGAGCCTCAGGCCTGGGGGCCAAGTGTGGCCCTCTAGACCAGGCTTCCTCAAACCTCGGCCCTCCAAATGTTTTGAGACTACAATTCCCATCATCCCTGACCACTGGTCCTGCTAGCTAGGGATCATGGGAGTTGTAGGCCAAAAACATCTGGAGGGCCGAGGTTGAGGAAGCCTGCTCTAGACTTCTATCCTGCCCTTCTCTGGCCCTGTTTCACACATTCAGTGTATTTTCCTGGCTGAAATGTGGCCTTGGGCTCTTGCTGGTCTGGATGGAAGATGGAAAGCGGGACATGCCGGTCTGTGTAGAAACTCGTCGACTGTGCAAAGGTAAAATTAGCATGTGTTGCCCCACCCACTTTTGTTTCTGGCCCCGCCTACCACTTGCATGTGGCCCCAGGAAGGGAAAGAGGTCCTTGGACAGAATAGGTTCCCCATGCATGGTTTGAAGTGACAGAGCATAGCATGCAGAGGTGGGCAATGGTTGCACCCACTTCAGAGCCAAAGAAGGCCTTGGCAGTGCCTTCTGAGGGGGTCAGCTCAAGACTCAAAACAGAAATCGTAACAATAGTGACAGCAACTAATTTCATTAATAACCAACCACAACAAATTGCATATATATCTTGTTCTTCCTCCAGTGCTGCTAAGGTGGTATATCGTTTTATATTCACTACAATCCTGCAAGGTAGGTTGGACTGAGACAGTATGACCAGCCCAAGGTCACACCATGAGTTTCACAGCGGGGAGGGGATCTGAAGTTGGGTCTTCCCTGGCACTAACTGATTCTGTGGACCTCTGTTGGAAAGATACCCACAACTAGGAATGGATGAATGGATCAGTCAATTTTGGTTCTCTCAATTTCTCATCTTTCCAGTCTTAAATTCTGCAGCAATTTGCATTTTTCTTTTTCTTTTAACTAACTCCTCATGAGAATCCATCAGCATTATAGTGCATGTTTCTCCAAATAAACACATTTGTATGCAGCTTTGACTCGTGTACACATTTTGGCACAAACTTTTCCCTAATACAGTGGTACCTCGGGTTAAGAACTTAATTTGTTCTGGAGGTCTGTTCTTAACCTGAAACTGTTCTTAACCTGAAACTGTTCTTAACCTCCTGCTGCCACTGCACGATTTCTGTTCTCATCCTGAAGCAAAGTTCTTAACCCGAGGTAATATTTCTGGGTTAGCGGAGTCTGTAACCTGAAGTGTATGTAACCTGAAGCGTATGTAACCCGAGGTACCACTGTACACACTTTTGTATTAATATTGTCATGAATATATTCATTTTTATGCACTGGACTGTATGCTGTATAGCACCGAGCGGCGCTGTGAGCCAACAATGACTTCCACTATCCACAATCGAACTTTGTCCCCTTGTCGTCCCCCTGCAGGTCTCCTAAATTTGTTCTGGGGGTTCCCCCAACCACCCAGACACTGGGGACACTATGGACCACATGGAACTCGTTCCCACAGTAGACAGTAATGGCCACCAACCCAGAGGGCTTTTCAAAGGATAGAAAAATCATGGAGGAGAGAGCTATCAATGGCTACCAGCCACACTGCGTATGCTCTGCCCCCACAGTTGGAGGCAGTAAATGCTTCAGTTGCTGGAAACCACAGGAAGGGAGAGTGCTCTTGTGCTGGTTTCCCACAGGTTTCAGCTACTGTAAGACCAGGATGCTGCCAATGGCCCTGATCCAGCAGGCTCTTCATATGTCCTTATGAAGCCTTTGCAGCAGTCAAGAGGCGTCGCCCTAAAATGTGCTACTTCTACATCTTCACTCATTTGGAGCCGGCTGCCTGAGCAGCCGTGGAGCTGGAGAAGAAGTGTGTGGGAACAGGGAGGTGCTGGGGCTGTCAGTGGTGGGCGGCAGCGGGCTGCACGGCTGAAAAAGCTTTGTTGGAGGAGGGGCAGCCGAGAGAAGGAGGCCCAAGAGGCTCCCACCCTAGATGCTGTCAGGCCTTATTTCTGTCATACGCCTCAAGCCCACAAGGCCTCATTGTGCGGGCTTGTTAAACATGATTTTCCCAGCCAAACATAAGAGACCTGGCTTCGATGCTTACATGCTCCCAAATTCCCATCCGTCCTTTCTCCTTGTTGTTCCCTCCGCCCTTCATCTCTAATAATGAATTCCCCCTGCCTTTATTTGTGGCTCCCTCCCTCCCTTTGCATTAGCCTGCAGCTTCTCTGAGCATGACTAGAGAGAGTTGGGAAAAGGCCAGGAGGTGGACAGTGGCACTGTTCCCTGCCCACTGGGCTCCTTTCAACACAGCCATACAGTCCGTATATCCCAAAACACAAAAAGCTAGCAGCTTGTGGGCCGTTCCCCAAAGGGGTCTTCTTGCTTCCTTCCTGATGAGTCATTTCCTCAGCCCACCGATCCTTTCTCTACTGGGGCATTGGAAGATTTTTCATTTTTATTTTTCACACACCATGGTCCAGGTCCCCCGAAAGCACCAGTCAGTCCCTCACTCTCATGGATAGAGTTGGGGGTGGGTGAACCTGTCAATTTCAGTTCCTCTCAGTTTCTCCTTTCCCTCCCAGTCTTCAGGTCTCCACATTTTCACATCAAGATTAGAATTTTTTTTTTAAGGCCTCACAAAAATTCACCAGCATTTTAATGATGATTTATCCTAATATACAGTACACATAGGGCTCATCCACACTTAACACTTGCTCTGTGTTTTCTAGGCATGTGCTTCAAATATGCTTAAAAGTGTATGGCTTTGATTGTGACCCTCAGGCTCTGGTATACTGTATTATTTATTTATTTATTTATTTATTTAATTTTTAGGCCACCCTATAGCTCTCAGGGCGGATAACAACATATGCCCTTGAATCCCTCCTGCCAAATACTGACAGTCTGGAGGAAGCCTCTATCAGTCCCATAACAGCCTAAGACAAATCAACACATATACTGTTTTGGTTATGTGAGACTTCAGCTCACACAGCAAGATGAGCTAGAGGGGGAAGAGCCATAGCTCAGTGATTGAGCATGCTAAAGGTCTCAGGTTCAATACTCAGCATCTCCAGGTAGGGCTGGGAATGTCCCCTGCCTGAAACCCTAGAGAGCTGCTGCCAGTCAGTGTGGACAATACTGAGCTAGATGGACCAATGGTCTGATTTGGTGTATGGCCGCTAACCATATTCCTATAGTTGTCGTCTTGCACCATAGAGACTACAGGCCAGAGTGTCCCTCTTTAGGTCTCACCTTGCCACACTTTCCTGCCACTGTCAATAGTTATACAGTCATATCTTGGATCCCAAACGCCTTAGCTCCCGAACAAATCGGCTCCCGAATGATTGAAACCCAGAAGTGAGTGTTCTGGTTTTCAAACAATTTTCGGAAGCCGAACGTCCGGTGTGGCTCCCGATCGGCTGCAGGACGCTCCTACAGCCAATTGGAAGCCGTGCTCTGGTTTCCAAACATGTTGAAAGTCGAATGGACTTCCGGAACAGATTCCATTTGACTTCCAAGTTACGACTGTACCATGGAAAAGTGTTTGCAGTTTAAGCAAGAAAAGTCTCATATCACATTAGAAACACACAGACAAATTGCCCTGGGTGCATAGGGGAGAGAATGGCAGAAAGCAAAGAGGAAGGAAAAAGGCGGAAAGAGAAAACAGCTCATGAAACAACATAGATTTTGGCTCTCCTCCCCAATGCATTCCTCTCATTTAAATTATTGCATTTAATACTGTGCACATCCGGTGGGGTTTCTGCCCAGGAGAAAAATATCTTGTTTTGATTTAACGAGGGCTTTTTTGGCCAAATCAGATAGCCTTTTCTGCCAAAGCGAAACATTTATTCTTCTCTTTCCCCCATGTCAATTTTTTTCCTTTGTTGTTTTTGCTGCCCTCTGCCCTGTGTCAGATTCAAGCTCCCCCTCCCACTTCCCCACATCTCTCTCATTCCAGAGCGGTGTTTGGGCTGCAGCCAATTTCAGTGCTATAGAAAGACTTATTTGAAAAAGAAAAGAAAAAGAAAGCAAAGGATGGCCAAACCAAACTGGAGGAAATGAGAACAAATGAAAGAGAGCTCCAGGTAGGCTGTAGACTCCAAATCAAAAGCAAGGCAGCTCAAACCAAACACACAGAAACATCAACTGCTCTTCATATGAACGATTACACCACAACACGGTCATTTCCTGGAGTTCTGCCCAGTGATGATGCAGAGAATTATGTACAGCCCCATCAGTGGTAATCCAGAGAACTATTCCATTTTAGCGTGGTCATGCGGTTTACTTTACAAAGGACAGCACTCTGCTTGAAACAATGGGGAACCTCCAGCCCATGGACCTCATTCAACCCCCTCCCCCGCTTGTTTTGGATAATTCATGCCTAACTGCCCTACACCTATCATTACATATGACATTTGCAGGCCTTGCTCATCAGCTGATCATCAGGGCTTGCAAAGTCCTGTGCTTTTGCCTATGTGAAATTGGTCCACAGTTGTGTGTGTGGATAAAGATCCAGCCTGCTAGCTGAATGCAGGCCCCAGGTGAGGCCAGGTGGAGCCCAGTTCAGGACACTGGTTTGTATCCAATGTTATTCCTATTCTGAGTAGACCTATTGAAATGAATGAACATGAGTAGCATGGATCTCTGAATTCCAGTAGGTATACTCTGAATAAATGTTAGTAGGCTACAAGCCATTCTCACTCGCCTGCCAATTTCCCCCTGCCTCACATTAATGTTAACAGGAGTGTTTTTCCAGTAATATGAGTATTTCCACACTAACAGACGGTACAAGCAACGTGGCTGTAGTGCAGCTTAGGTGTATTTCTATCAAGTACTTCTGCTGGGCTCCTGCTGTAACTCAAACATACTGGCTTAATTATTTGCTATACAGAACCTCATGAACCTTGGTACCTTGGCACAGAATTCAGTAAACCTGTATCAAAAAGAAAACATGGCCCTCAAGGGACATGTCCAAATTAATATTTCCTCAGCAGGATGAAAAACAGTGTGTCAGCTCCTGTCACAATGGGAGAGAACAGAAAGTGAGCAAGAGAAGCAACATGAGCGATGAATGATCTGTTTGCACAAACAAAGTTTGTTTTCTTGACATGGCACAACCAGCCTTTGACTTATCAGTGGCTGAATCAAAAAGTCATGTGTCTCTCTCTTCATTGTCATTTCCATTCTGTCTTAAATGTGACTGTGATGGTGTGAAGCACTTCCAAGCTGCTGTTGGACATGTGTGTTGTGTGTTGTGGACTTCCCACAGCAGTGGTTCTAGAGCAGTATACTTCAACCTTTGGTCCACATACAGTATGTTGTTGAACTACAATTGTCATCATCCTTGACCATTGGCTAAGTTGACTGGGCATGATGAGAGTCACTGTCCACAAGAACATAAGAAAAACCTTGCTGGATCAGGCCAATGGCCCATCTAGTCCAGCATCCTGTTCTCACAATGGACAAAAATATGCCAATGGGGGCACAAGGAAGCAGGACCTGAGTGCAACAGCCATCTCCCCACTTGTGGTCCTTGACAAACAGTATTCAGAGGGATACTGCTTCCAACAACAGACGCAGAACACAGCCATCAAGGTGAGTTCAACGATTTCTGGGGTACCAAGATTGAAGAGCACTGCTTTAGGACATATGCACATAATGTACAACCCTGTTACCACTTTGGAGTCACTCCTCTGACTACATGAGATGCTGGAGCAGTGGGGTTCATGCCCAAGAGCATGGCATATTATGCATTCTCTTTAAGATCAGTTACTCAAGGAGGACCAAGAGTGGAATGACCAAGAGTCTTGTGAAAGGAGGGATCCAGCTCAGGGAGGAGAGCTTGTAACAGGCACCATTTTGTCCTTTTGAACTTTCAGAATGGCAGAATGTGAAATGGCAGATGATGGAATCCTTGGCACCTTAGTGTTCACATATGCACATCCCTATGCATGCACAGTAGACCCAAGATGCACCTGTGTCTCACCAAGAGATATAACTTGAAGGAGTCAAGGAAGGGGCTGAAACCTGAAAGATGGGAACTTCTGAACTAGGCTGTGGAACACTCCCCCCCCCCCATGAGGACAACATTTTCCCTGGGGAAAAGTGGTCAAGTGATGGTAGGTGGGGGAAAAGCGGATAAGGCCAAAGCACATTATCACAAAAAGGGCCACAGCTCAGTAGAAGGGCACATCCTTTGCATAAAGATGGCCCCAGGTTGAAATCCATGGCATCTCCAGCTAGGACTGAGCGAGACATCTGTCTGAAAGCCTGGAGGGCTGCTACCTTAGTGTTGACATAGATGGACCATAATAGGGCAGCTTCTTTATGTGCCTATGTACATACATACCACATTCACACACACACACCCATTCACTTACACAGATTCAGCTTGCTTTTCTTCCACCTTAACCTATACCTGTGCCCAGTAACATTTTAAAAATTGCTCACTGGAGACAGAGAAACCAAATCAACATGCGTATGAAGCAAGGGCAGAAGTTACAAACTCAGGACCGTCCCTGCTTTAAACAGGAGCTCTATTACCTATGGATGTATAATAATGGGAAATGTGCTATCATTCTGCCGTGCAGTGTGGCATTCTTGGCTATACCTAACCATTTCTAGCAGCTCCCACATGGCAGCCCTCACATAAGAAAGCGCCACAGGAGAGGGAGCCGTTGTGAGGGGCTGCAGCGATCCTTTCTCGAATCCCAGAAAGCTGTGAAGAAATCCTGTGGGGTGTTTCCCCAACGCAGTCACTCACGACCATGCATGTAATGAAAATGCCTGGCTAGCTCAATAGGCCAAGCTCTTTTCTGCACTCAAGAGCTCTCGGGCAAATCGGGAGAAGGGAAGACGACGAAGAAGAAAAACTCTCTTCTGGTGCGTGATTTTCCCCAAAGCTCTGGGGGGAGGAAAAGAAAAAAGAAAAACCACAACGGTGAAGAATGTGCAGCTTTTCAGTGAATTCCCCACCGGGGCCCAAGGCCTCCTTCTCACACATGATTAGTGTGTTTACCCTTGTAACACGGCAAAGGCGCACAATGGGACCTCTGAGGAGACATTTCCCGCCATTTTCCCCTCTTCATTGTAGCCTTTCACTTTCCTCTTGCAAACCCCCACCACCATTTTTTTCTTCCTCCTTCCCCCGCTGCTTCCCCCCTTTTTTTTCCAGGGAGATAAAAGCCTGAATTTGTGAATCACTCTATTACAAAGGAGGGAATGACAAAAGCGAAGAGAACTGGAGTCTTTAATGCCGCTCCACCAGTGAAAAGGGCTCGAGGCCTATGGGATGAAGAATAAGCCTTTGGCGGTGCTGATGATTCCTTCTCTTCCCCCTCTATTGTAGATGTACAAGGTCTGCAGAAGAGGCGGATGGAGGGGGGGACGGACAGCAGTGCCATGAGGGGCTTATCTGAAATAAAACAGCAGCTGGGGGAATTCCTGAGGACCGCCGCGCCGAACTGGCAGGCAGAGCGAATGGCAAAAGATCGCTCTCAGGCGTCCCTGAGGGCCCCGGCCCTTGAACTCCACGAACTTTGGTTGTGAAGTAATCCTTCCCAGCCAAGCGCTCAACAAGAAAATTAAGACTACGCCTCCCGTACAATAAAGGACAGGACGGCAGGTGTTTCGAGGGCATAGGTTAATATACCCTCCGACATGGGCTGGAGGAAGAGTGGGGGTACAGCGGGGTATGTTTGTTTTTAAGGTGGTTGAGTAAACAAAGTAAGCCTTTACGCAATGCCTTTTAAATCAGGTCCCCGTCCCCCAAAATGCTTGAGTTCATTGGCCCCCTTGAGGAGATTATAAAGTTGTTGTTGATCCCGACCAAGAGTCTTAGGAACATAAATGAATTAAAATCAAGAAATACTGGCATGTAATCAATATTGAGCACTGTGACCAGGAATCATAAAATGTTAAAAAGGAATACTGTTGCATTGTGGAATCATCTTATTAAACACAGAGGTTCCCTGGTGGCAAGAGATGTGTACTCCGCACATGCCCCTTGTTTCTGAGGCTCAGAGTTCCCAATTCAATTTTTCACATTATAACTCATTAACATCTTTCCCCTCCTTAGGACTTTTTTCACCCCAAGGTCTTTATTCACCCCCTGCACAGTCCCAATGACCCCAGGGGGTCAATACTGACAACTTGGGGAAAACCCTGATTTAATTCAACCAAATATATAATCTAATTGTACAAAAGGTTCTTATTGTGGCAGTGAGCAATTTCAGGAATACAATATATTCTATTCATAAAATTGTTCACTAACAAAATATAAATATTTGTGTTATGTTATGTTATGTTATGTTGTTATGTTATGTTATGTTATGTGTTATGTGATGTGATGTGATGTGATGTGATGTGATGTGATGTTATGTTATGTTATGTTATGTTGTTATGTTATGTTATTATAAATTACAGAACAGGTTTATTTTTTTAAAAAAGACTACAAATATAACAGAAGAAGGAATGAATAAAGGTATAAACATTGCCTGCTGACATTAACAATAGGAGTATTCCATCAATTCTAATTTAAACAAATGAACTAATATAGGCAGTCCATATATCCAAATAGGTATGTAAATCAGATTGACAATTATAAGCTATGTGTTCACTGGATAATAGAGGGTGGTATCTTTCCTGTCATCTTGGACAATATAATGACAACAAAAGGTTTCTACTGCAGTAGTGAGCAAGCCTCAGATTGCAGTCCTGTGCATACTTCATTGGGAGAACAAGTCCTGTTGCCTCAGTTGGACTTCATAGATTTGCAGAGCTGGAAGGGACCACAAGGATCATCGAGTCCAACCGATCTTTTTGCCCAACATGGGGCTCAAACCCATGACCCTGAGACTGAGTCTCATGCTCTACCAGCTGAGCTATCTCACTCTCACTTATTTCCAATTTAATATTTTATTTTATGTTAAAGCATTTATAAACTGCTATGCCTAGGATTTGTGCAGCACTGCTGCATCAGTGGAGTTTCATGTGAGTAGGCCCCACCAAAGATTATTTTAAATATTAACTGTTAAAATGCATCACCCTCTGAAATCCGGAAAACAGATTTCATGTCAGCGATGAGCACATCTGTGGCATCAGCAAAGCTATCAGATGGATAACTCCCATTACCCCAACCAGCAACCATGCCGGCTGCAGCTGGTGGGTGTTGTGTAAAACATCTGGAGGGCACCAGGTTGGGAGAGGCTCTTGTAAAGGATAGGGTACAAATCCAGAAAATAAAATAACAGAGTCAACACTATAGCAAAAGCTCCAGAAGGAAATCAGCATGAGCGTACTAGTGCATTGAAACTGGAGGAGTCAGACTTCGGAGTAAATGTGCAGAATTGGGCTGCAATACAGCTATTTTGGTGGAGCCAGCTTCTCTTGGCGCAGTCTGCCATCCCTCCATGTCCGCATTTCCTCCTGCCACCCCCCAACTCTGTGCATCTGTTTGGGCCCCCACAGCTTTTCCAGTGGCTGGCTGAGCCTCTGACAGCTGGGGAAGGCAGAACTTAGCAGTGCATAGCGACAAATTCTTTACATTCACTGCTGCTTTACAGCCTCTGAGAAAAAGTCCTGAGATTTGGGGTGGGGGGTGGGGAGGGAGGTTAGAGAGAATCAGCTTTTATTGAAGGCTTTCTATTTAAAAAAAACTCGCTCTCATTAGCACAGAACCATCTCTAGGGGATGCCTGCTACTCCCAGGCGCACCTGCTTAGTTAAATAATAAGTGCTTCAGGCTTGGAGCCTAAACTACATTCTTCGTTTGCCACTGCACACACATATCCACCCCCAGCGGGCTGCTTATACCTTTAAACAGCAGCGCAACAGGCAGAAATAAAACAGGTGAAGTTTTCTGTCATCACTGAGTCCCCACTGATACATTTCTCCTGCTGTTTTCAGCTAGGTTGCCACTGTGAGAGGATGCAGGAACATTCCCAAGACGCACATGCCCCTTTCTCACATCCAATGGGTATTCAGAGTATAGAAAGCAGGGGAAATTATTTAATACACCCATCCTTGTTTTTTCTGCTAGTAGTCTAACTTTGATATTTTCTTCTGAGTATTCTGTTTCTGTGGAACACCTCACTGGTACGGTTGTATCTCTGCTTACCAGAAGTAAATACAGATACAAGAGATTTAACTTTATATATATATTTTTAAATAATATTTATTATTTTTCCAACAATTTAAACACTACAAAAAAAGAAATAAACAATACAATACAAAAACAATACCTAACACTAACACATTAAACTAACAAAACAAAACAAAAACAGTTAGAAACACATCAAACAGTTTCAATATCTTATCCTTCACTCACTTATTTCCGCGACCTCCTCACACCTCCCTTTTTGTATTCCACTTCTATTAATTGTTTCAGCAATTCCTTTCCATCTTCCTCTGCTTTCTATCCTTTAATTATCTTAACACATTCTAACCTTATTTTTCCCTTTAATACTCTATTAATCTATTTATACTTAATTCCTTATAACATTTCTACTAAAGCCATATAACTTCATTCCAACATTTTCCTAACATTCATTAATTTTACAGTATTTCTGTAAATAATCTTTAAACTTTTTCCAGTCTTCTTCCACCGACTCTTCTCCCTGGTCTCGGATTCTGCCAGTCATTTCCGCCAATTCCATATAGTCCATCAACTTCATCTGCCATTCTTCCCGGGTGGGTAAATCTTGTGTCTTCCAATACTTCGTGATAAGTATTCTTGCTGCTGTTCTTGCATACATAAAAAAAAATTCTATCCTTCTTTGACACCAATTGGCCAACCATGCCCAGGAGAAAGGCCTCTGGTTTCTTCAGAAAGGTATATTTGAGTACCTTTTTCATTTCATTATAGATCACTGGTACGGTTGTATCTCTGCTTACCAGAAGTAAATACAGATACAGGAGATTTAACTTTATAAGCGCTGCCTGCAGCAAATATAAGAATAGAAGCAAGTTTCCCATGCTCCTCCCCACCCAAGGAAATAAAGAACCTCTTCCTGCCCCTGCTGCAAGCTTCCAAAGTTATTTGTTTCTTCCATTTCAGTGACTTGCACAGCGTCTCTTGTGAATTTTGGGTTGTTCTTCCTGTCTATTTCCTTACTGAGGATTTGAATCAAGCTCGCATTGCCACCTTCCATTCTGGCAGGGCTCCTGTGTCTTTCATAAGCTTGCATGACAGGCCGAAAGGTGGGATGGGGAAGAAACTTCGTTCAACCTGCATTGAAAGGCAAACCTACTAAAACTGTGCTTCCCACAGCAACGCAGCAACTGAAATGCAACCATCGTTTGAAATTTGCCTTTCTCTGAATTTTGCAGTGCTGTATTCCCGCCAAGTAATGTGTACAAAAATGAATATACTCGGGTATGCATAAAAGTGCATGTATTTGTGAAAATAGCATATAAAATTGTGTTAAGTTAGAGGAAATTGCTTACAAAAATATTTAGATTAGTCAGTTAAAAATATGTTTATTAAGAGAAATTTGCACCAAAATGCTGATGAATTTTCATGAAGTTTTTTTAAAAATTGCAAACTGACGTGGAAGTGTGGAAAAATGAATCTAAGATGGGAAAAATGAGAAACAGAGAAAGACCAAAACTGACGCATTTGCCCATCCCTAACCAGGATAGGGTTTTCTTTTTCCTGATCAGTTGCCAGCCCTCTAGGATCATTCACACATTAGGATGACGCCATAGAGGATGGAGCTGGATCATGGCTGCTGCCTTAGGCTTGCCCGCTAAACCCATTCAGCATATAGCTTCTGAAGGAACCTCCATGTGTGCAATACAGGTTGCTTAGGCTTAATCTGCACATTTGGAAAACCTGGAAAAAGCAGGGCCTCCCATCATGTGTATACCATGCAGTCTGTGCACTCTTTCAGAAGTTGTAGTAAACACACATGTACGGTGGGAGCAAGGAGAGTCGGATGCAACCCCTCTGCCTGTAAAACGTCTTCCTGTCTTTCCATGCTTTCATCTTGCAGTTTTCCTCTCTTTCCCTTCGCCTCTTTATTTTTCCTCTGTATATTCCCCCAGCCTTTTCTCTCTCTCTCTCTGATTTTCTGCTTGCTATTAGGCTAATTGGCTGCACCTGCCAGCGAGAACCATAAAATTGGAGAAGCCGCCATGGCTGACTGATTTGGATATGCCCAACTTCCAGATTGTTTACATTAGTGTAACCCTTTGTCACGGGTTCTCAATGGTTCTCAGCCTTTAAAAAATAAATAAATCTATGAATCTATCTGAAAGTGTATGTATGTATGTATTTCTCTCTATCTGATGAAATGTTATAACTTTCTGGATTTTTAGTTTAGAGAAAAGGTGAGTAAGAGGGCTCATGATAGATAGGTTTACAAAATTACTGGTGGTGTGGGGAAAAGTAGACTGGACAGAGGAAAGTTATTCCCCTCTCTCTGAAGACACAAGAACTCGGGTATCCCATGAAGCTGATTGCTGAAAAAGAAAGTACTCTTTTGCAAGGCATATAGTAATCTGTGGAACTCACTCCCACAAGGTAGTGATGGCTACCAACTTACGTAACTTTAAAAGAAGGTTAAACAAATTCATGGAGGGTAGAGGTATCAGTAGCCACTAGCCACAATAGCTGTGTTTCCCCTCCACTGTCAGAGGCAGAAATGCTTCTGAATACACATTGTTTGGAATCAGAGGAGGGGAGAGCGCTGTTGCTCTCAGGTTCTGCTTGGGTTCTCGCAGGTGTTTGGATGGTCATTGTGACAATGGACCTTCTGCCTGATCCAGCAGGCTCTTCTTATGGATGGATGGATATTAAGAAATCTGCTGCATCAGATCAAAGGCCAATTGTTCAGCATTCTGTTCTTAATAGTGGCTAACCAGATAGATGCCCATCATGTCAACTCTTATTCACCTTTCCTCTAAACTGACAAGCCAACAAATTAAGCAGAAAGGCACCGTGTTAAGAGTTATGTGGATTGCACTGTCAGGCTGCATTCTTATGCGTCACAGATGGATAACCACACATGAGCCCCAGTCTCATTTTATGCAGACTTCCGCAGCCCCAGAAGCTGCCTCATTTGTCCAGCCCTCCACAGTTCCTTGTTTCCTGTTCTTTTCTTCCTCTCCTGGCTTTTTAAACATGCCTCCCTACACCTTGCTTCAAGGTAGTCTCAGGGCAGCTGTGAGGGGTCATGTGTTGTATGATGAAAATAAATTTATGTGGGGTTTTCTTTGGATTTCAAACCTTTTTCATGGTTGCATGTCTTTGGGGGTGCAAGGTTTTACCCTCCAATAGTCCGAGAAGAAATTGTGGTGGAGTTGTGGTGTATGTAGCACATTAAAGTTAGAAAAGAACCGCTTTCTCTTCCTTTTTAGAACAGTAGCAGTGTTTGTAAACTGTACTTAAAAACCCAACTCTTTATTCTCATTTGAGAACAACCCCATCAGACCCTGTGGGGCTCTGAGCAGACCTGCTTAGGAATGGGAATTCTGAGCTAGCCATAATGAAAAATGAAGCAGGGTACTCTATATTCCAGATTCAAGAACATTTTTATCTGTGGCTCCGCCCACCACCCACTCTGGCCCCACCCACTGCCAGCATGCGCCCCCGGCACATTACCCTGCAGGAAATGTGGCCCTGGATTGCAGCAGTGATTCCCCTCCTTTGTTATGCACACATACTGAAAACAGTGGGACTTACTTCCAATTAAGCAAACACAGGATTGCCCTGTAGATATTGTTGATCAAGGCCAAATTAGGAGCCAGCAGAAAAACTGGAATTACAACCACAGTTCCCTATGGTTCAGCTAGCACAACCCCTGTCTCCTCTCTGCTTTATCAGGGCACCCTTCCCCAGTGTGTTAACATTTCATCAAATCAGTAGAATGATAGTATTTATAAATAACC